GGGTAGGGTTTTCCACACTTTTGGCTGAGGGATGAATCACCCTGATCATTTTTTGTAATTTGAAAACAGTCAACCAAAAATCAAGGGCCTGTGTATGAACTTTTAAAAGGCATTATATACCTGCACCAAATAGCCCCAACATATCTAGAACCAACCTTACCGGATTTTTTAAATATCAAATTTAATTGTGATCAACCCGTTGAGGAAAAATCTCATGACCGTAAATGGGCATACTCCCAGAACAGTTTTCAGTCCTTTAATTAAATTTCTTATTTTGTTGAACAATTTCTTGTTTCATTGATTTCACTCAGTTGGAAATAACTTTGAACATTCTTTCTATTTTTCATCTGAAATTGTCAATATCTATTACGAATTTAACCTTAGAATACTACAGCGAAACCTCTATATACCAGGCTTCTCGAGGGAAACGGAAAGTTTATGGCATAGAAAAAACCTGATGTACAGAGAGCTCGAGGTTCACAAGATCCCAATCACCAGTATCTATAGTCTCTAAGATAACCTGTCAAGCGTCTCACATACCCAGTAAGGGCCTGATATGCATGTATTGTGCATACTCAATCACCTATTGAGGTACCCAGTATAGAGAGGCACGGTATCGAGAGGTTCAGTTTATTAAGTATACTAATTTTCTTAACTGATGGCCAAATTCCGAAATTTGCATTGCTGTTACAGTCAAAAGTTTTTAAGTGCTTATATTTTATCAAAATTGAATGAACATTTTTTTTAAAAGTTTGTTCATTTAAACAGCCTTCCTTTAAATTCACAACAGTCTCCCAAGATAAGTCAAGTGTTGAGTAAAATATTGTGATGTCATGATGTAGAAGTCCGGATGCTCTATCATCTTCCATTTGGTCATTGTCAATTTTGCTTTGCCCATTTTGCTTACTTTTTGATTTAAATTTTTGAGCAGGTTGATAAGGAGCAATTTAATCCTTTCTGATATCATTTTCATCTGAAGATTCCGAATTTTCTGAATTCTTTGGAATGAAGTTTCTATCTCATGTGGAGCAAAAGTTGTGACCTGGTTTTCGATGTGGAGCAAAAAAGTGTGGAGCACCCCAATAAAATCTATGCTTTTTAACTATTTTGATCGCCATTTAACAAATAGATCCTGGACGTTAATCGCAAAATATTTTCACTGCCAAATCATAAAATGGACCTCAGCCAGTGTGGAGCAGTCGAAATATCCTCATATTTTTCGTCTCAACCAGGGGTAAACATTACAGTAGAATCTCCGTCTTTTCACAAAATCTTAGTTTAAAGGAATACGCACCAGATAACATTATCAATAATGGTACACCTTGCTCAACCGATGCGGAGCACGAAACTATTATACCTTAGTTGGGAATACTGATTGGGAAGAAACTGAGTTTTGAAAGTGAGTGTGATTAAAAACGATAAATACATCTAATCAGGCCATAAAAATATCATTTTTTCTTGTGATTATGTTCAGACCCCCTGACTCTATTCTTTGGAACTGCTGATAAACCTAGTAATGCTCAACCATGTGGAGCAGAGGACTTTTACTGCATAACATGACTCCTCATCGGCTGATATGACTTGGATGAGAAATTAGAATGAGTATTTTAGCTTTTACAATAAATTACTAGCAGAACAGATTGAAAAATTGTATTTAATAGGCTCAACCAGAGAGGAGCAGAATGGAATGATAGATTGATAACACAACTATTTGTAAGGATCAGTGTTGTTATATTAGGATAAAGGAGGAATGATATCATCAATACTTAAGAAGCTGTTGATGTATGTAGTACTGTGTCCTTTAAAGAGAAATATGCCACCGTAGAAAAAGACAATATGCTCAACCGTGAGGAGCAACAGGCTTTTCTACGGTAAAAAGAGTCTCCATGATGGTCGATCTGTAGCCAATTTGTACGTAATGCAATTTAAAGTTTACTGATATACTTTAAATACTTTTCTTACCATGATTGGGCCATGATTGATGTTCCAGAACTGTTCAGCCAGAGTGGAGCAGAGCTAGAAATGACATGTCATGTACGGGATTCCTCAACTGCCTAACATTTGATGAAGATCTCTCTTGCACGCGGCTGTAGAATGAAGTAGTGAGCTTCGAAAATCTAATACAACAGAAATCATCTCTGCTCCACACAGGTTGAGCACTGAATAGTTCCCGTGAAGTAAGTTTATTGACCACCAATATTATAACATATTTTCTCTAGAATGAATAAAAATAATATCCCATGAAGCACTTAAAAGTTGTCTCGATTGATCAAAAGGAAGACCTCTTTTTGCTCCACATGGTTGAGATAGGCTGTTCTCGACTAAAGAGTCTGCATCAACGGTGAAAATATAGATACAGGAGTCAAGATGTAAATCACAGAAGTCACTTTATCTCAACCCAGAAAGAATTTAAAAGTTGGCAAATTTTTAACCATTTTGGGCTCCACAGGGTCGAGAGAAGTGTACTGAATATAAATATCCGTTTCAGTACTCAAAATAGAGTTAGTAAGAGTTACCAAGCTAAAAAAATCTTACAGATCTAAACAAAAGCATTATGAAAAGCTAATAAATTAAAAATTTACAAATTTCTACATTGCCAAAACCTCGCTCCACATCGGTTGAGACATGGTGTGTTATCGCAAATATTCAAAAACTCTTGAGAGGGGTTTCAGCTAAAAAGTTCATAGAGGTTCAACCAAAAACTTGACTGTTTAGCGTATGATTTTTGGTCTTGAAAATTGCCTAACTTTCAAGCTACTGCTCCACACAGGCTGAGCATTAAAAGTTGTCTCAACCGGGACTTTCTGTGTAGATGGGACCTTTTTCTGAGAGTCTCAACCTGTTTTGACTGCCAGATTCAGTTACCAACGAGATTGCAAAAAGTTGTAAAATGTCACTTTGAAGCACTGATATGCTCCACATTGGCTGAGTAACACATATAGATTACATGTTAAAGTGTCCAGTGAACATTTGTTTCCATCTGGGTGAAATATTAACAAAGGGTGAACACCAGGTGGCATGCTAGCTCACTAAATAGCTCAACCGGTCAAATTGTACCAATTTTGGCAGTCAAATTTGGGCAAAGCAAACTTTACAATGACCATTTCTAGTATAACACAAAAGAGTTCATTCTGCATCAACTTGATTGTATTTAAATTCAGCAATAGGCACGTTTTAAAGCATTACTCAATATTTTCAAAATTGTCTTACATTTATCTCAAAAAAAAGGCATACCCTACTATTTTCTCTCCTACTATTGCAAACATTGTATGAATCTGCTACCTTGAAAAAATCATATCGATTAATGCCTGTTTTCTCCAATGAAACTAATAAATCAATGAAACTAATAAATCAATGTTTTAGCTCATTTTACAAAGTCAAATATTTAAAACAATTAAAATTGTATAGTGCTCAATTTGTAAATGACTAGTTGATCTTTGCTATTGGAAGTTTGTCAAGGACTGGCAGCTAGCGGGGCAAGGAATGCACGGGCTTAGGGGCTTTTGTGCACACCAGAACACTAGCTCGGTAGATTTTTGGAAACTAGAAGGACTGAAAACTAAAGTTGTTTTTGATGGAGGCTGAGGCATGTTTTTGAGAGGGACGGTATAATAGCTTGTGGTAACAACTGGCCTTTACTTTAATAGGATGAAGTTTTAGTTTTAGGACAGGAAGAAGGCATTAAGAAGATTTGCTCTTTGTTTACAAGGCAGAATATAAGCAATGTTGGTCCAGAAAGTAGAATGCACATTTATCATTTCTCCACAAATGGATTCCAACGATTTCAATCTATATCTGTAGGAAAATTGACTTTAATAAAACACAGTTGTTGCAAGTGGTACTTCCTAATATCGTTACTCATTTTTATTAAAAATATGTATTTTTTAATTTTAACTTTATCTAAAACATTTATCAAATCAGACTAATCAGTGTAGATGATTAGTTTTGTATCAGTTGAAGGTTCAGGGACCGGGATGCTACTAGTGACGTTTCACATCATGTTGTACCTCATAATCTCTTTTTATTGCTATAATATCAGGAATCTATAATTTTACACCATGTTATTTATTAACGTCCTCCTCCTCGTATTGCATACAGGCACGGATCATTTCATTCTTCAGCAAGCCAGAAAACATACCCTCCTGCTGGAGAAGCAAGCTGCAATGCTCTCAGTCTCAAATCACATGTCAAGCAGTATCTTAACATGCACCAATAGCAAGTCCTCCAGCTCTCTCCTTCAGCTCTCCCCCCTCCGTCCTCCCTCACTTCCAAATCACGCAGTTTGCATTCGTGCTGCTCTCTCTGCCTCTCACCCGGCTCTCCTGCTCGTTCTGCATGATTTGTTAGTACTAACTGCTAATTGGGCTGACTTGCGATTATTTAATTGTCACGTGATTTGATGGTAATTGCAATTATTGGATTGTTTCAACTTGGATCAGTTTTTAATTGCTGGATTGTTAATTACTTGATTACTGATCATCTGAAACAAGTTGATTGGACTGTTTGAGCTGAACGTAATTTCGTTCCAATTACCCTGGATTGATTACGATTCGCTCAAATAGAACTAGAAGTTTCTATCATCTCTGTCCAGTTATTTCTATGACTTGTAACTTTACATTGCGTGACATGAAAACAATCTGATTTTGCTATTGTGTTTCTTTGTGCCGGCTCCATCTTCTAGTTGTTATGTCTAGCATCTTCAATTTCTTCTACATATATGTTTACCGTGGATATAACTTGACGATCCTTGCTTATTATTTAACACTTTCTACATGAGTCAGCCGGCACCTCCCCGTATGAGTTCCAGTTTACAACTCTAACTTTCAGAAAATAACTTGCACTATTTAATTTAGTGATATCTTAGTTTCAATCGTGTAAGTTGTTCAGTAGTGGTTTAAAGATTTAATTGTTCTTATTATGTCCTCTTTTTGGACGTGGGTATTTTATTAAGATTCAAGTTTTGGCTCTAAATAACAGTTTCATTTAACCCATGTAGCTGATCATGGCGACCGAGAAGCCCTTTTTCGGACAGAACGCATTCGGTGGGTCCCTCAAGAACGTGCCACAATCGCCGCCCCTTCCTAACCGATACATTCTGAGTGACATGTTGAACATCCCAGCCATCGATCAGTCTCCCGACATAAAGAAGTGAGTACAGCACTTATCTTCACGGCTACTTCTAACTGTTTTATCATTTTATTTGCTTGTTATTGTACTTGTGAAATTATTAGAAATATTGAAAAACTGTGCTGAACTGTATTGTTTCTTGGTAATTTACCGATATTTTATTCTGTTTAACATTTATAACAATCAGGGTCGCAGTAGCAAGACACACCGCCAAATCAAAGAACCTGGCGATGCAGCGGAAACTAGCCAAGTCAAAGTGGAGCAAAGAAGAGGACAGTTTGTTGAAGTACCTGGCTGAGAAGGAGAACGGTACTAAAAACTGGAGGGAGATCGCTCTTCATATACCCGGGCGAACCGCTATAGATTGTCTGCACAGGTTTGAGAAAACTATAGCTAAATTATATAAATCTACTTATTTCCGGTTCAGCAAACTTCAAGTTTTAACTCTCTACAACCGAACAAAATGTCAACTCCTCGTGTAACCCAATCTCTAATTATCAGGTGGCAGAAAGTTGTAAACCCTTCCTTGGTGAAAGGTCCGTGGACCAAAGAGGAGGACGAACAAGTCCGTGATCTGGTTAAGAAGTATGGTCCTAAGAGGTGGTCCATGATAGCCAAACACCTGAACGGCAGAATCGGGAAACAGTGTCGAGAAAGGTATGTAAAACATTCTACTCAAAGCACGGCTGAACCAAAATTTAAATTGTTAATACAAATCTTAGCTTTTTTCTTTTTCCTCGTGCACCTTTGGTCACCCCTTCAAACCTGTTCAATAATGTTCACATTGGGCCAATAATTATTATTCTGACTTGGTTTCTCCTGCAGATGGCACAACCACCTGAATCCGGAGATAAACAAGAACCCCTGGTCTGAAGACGAAGACAGGAAGATAGTAGAAGCCCACCAGAGACTCGGAAACAAGTGGGCTGAGATTGCTAAACTCCTACCCGGCCGGTTCGTTTGTACTTTTTGGTCATTAGTTTTAGCATGTTGTTATTACCTAATAGGAAGTGTTATTTATGAACTGTAAGGTGGCACTGATCATGTTATCTGGTATGTGGTGGAGCTAAATTTAGTTTTGAGAAGCTAAATTTAGAGCTAATTTCATAGATTGGTTTGTGCGGTCTTTTAAGTATCTTGGTTTTCTGAACTTGTTAAAATCTCGAGGCTGGAAGTGTCGGTAATCTACTTTCTTGTGGTTATCGAAGTGATACATTTGATAATAGCAAGATAATGGCAAGCTGTCTTTGCTTGTTCTCAAGTAGCCTGTGGTCAGGCACACGATCATTCAGATTACAATTGATCTGAACTTATATTTAACTCTTAGTTAGCTCCCTTCTCCGGCCCATCCTCTCTGCTAAAATTAACTGTTCACTCATTCCCACAAAAACCACTAAAGTGGCTGAAGCTGTGCACCAAAACGCTAGCCGTGAAGCAAACTCTCACGACAATGGGCCTTCCTCAATCCTCATTGGCCCAGTTAGGTCACGTGTCTGCAGTGGTGTGTGATCATTGGAGCACCCGCTCCACTGAAGTGAAAATCATGCACCATGCACGGAGGAGTGCACCATGTGCAGGGATCTGGAAAATGACATCCAAAAAATGGTGCACGACTGAGAAAGGAAATTTTAATTAGATATATGAAGTCGACAATATTTAGGGCAGCACAATTGCTATGGTTGACGGGAGAAGCCCTCTAGCCACTTTTCATGGGAAATATTTGACAAATCTACCTTTTAAACTGGACTGGGAAGCCTGGTGTTTTTTGAAGCGTAGACGACTTTTGTTTTTAATGGAACTTTGGTGGAGGGCTCGTGTTCTCAAGTGCCCTAAGGATTGCCGACTGCAGGCGCCTCTCTGTCAATCTGTCAGTTTCCCTAAACTATGTTGAACCTAGATGATACGTCAGTCGTCAGCTTCCAATTTATTCGGTGATATGATTGTACATAGATTGCCCATATTCTCGCTCCACTTAAAATCATTGGCTCCTGTAGTGAACCCAACAATTTACCTTAAATTCATAAAATTTTGCCATTGTCTTACTATAAGGTATGTTGGGTTTGGAAATGGAGTCGATAATGTGTAAAATATCTCGCTAATGCTTGACAAGAGATCAATTCACTATCATATAATAGTAATCCTGAAACTATGTGAAAGGGTTGGGCCCCTGTTCGGAAGTTGATTGGTACGGTAAATTGTTCCTTGATTGGATTTGGTCTGGTTGTTAACTCGAACTGAGTTGAACAATACTCCAGGTCTCAGACACCTTGTCCAAATTAGAGAGAGTTAATGTTTCAATAACTTGGGAGATATTGTATCGTCATTGTTTGGGTCTTAAAGTGGTTTGGATCAATCCATTAGCGTTTATTAAGGTTTTGGTGCTTTCTAAAGATTGGATCATGTTCACGTACATTATTTTATCAGACAGAAATGTCTCAAATTTAGATACTCTCTAACCTTTCCAAAGAAAGTTTATATTTTTGAAGAATGACTTTATCTCAAGCTTAGACAGCTACAAGTTGCAGGTGCTAGTATGTACAAGTTAATTATTCACACTTGATTGCACGGCCCGCAAGCACCAGATATCCCAGTCCTTGCCACACTAAATTATCCCACAATCAACCTAAAGACCCCCTGGATCAAAACCACATTCCAAACCAAATACCACTGCCCCTCTCGGATGCTTGTTCTGATTTGAACGACCCAATGAGCACTCCCCATTATAACGACTACCCAATCAGATCACAGAACATACCCCACGTGACGTGTGATGTTTCAAGGTGGTTAATTGCAGCAGAGTACTCGAGGTAATTGTATCGAGTAGCTGGATACTTTGTGACCGTATGAAGGGTACTTGTGACTATAGGCCTCTCCCACGGCTACAGGGACAAGGGTGTCAAAATTTTAGCTTCTTTATTCATGACTGGGCTTGTTCACTCATTATTTACTAGCCATGTTCTAATCGATTATGTAGTGTTGATCACTGAGGAGGTTCAAAGGAGGTTCCGTTCAAGAATACTTTTGAGAATTTCGTCATCATTGCTTGGAACTTAATAATAGACATAAAACAGCCCGGTTTTTGGCATGATTATTTTAATGGTCAGCCGTCAGGATTGGTGATTGTCATGGAATGTGTTGTGATATATTAGGAAGGGCGGGGCCGGGTTGGGTGTCTGTACCTGTGGAATGGGAGATATGGTTCATATTCATGGATTTAAAACTTATGCTAGCAGTATCCGTAACTAAAGGCAGTAAAATGTTAAGAGTACCTGGGAACCCTCCGATTAGTTGCTCACTTGTTTCACTTACTATAAGGGAAGATTGGGACCGAGTTTGATGAAACCCATGCAGAGTACTACTTTCCCAGGGGTCCCAATCAAGTAGATTCTCGGTGGACCAATGAATAATTATAGCCTCAATTACCTCTGATAGGATTCTGATTACGAACCTGCATCAAGATTCCCAGGCCCCTTAATAACCACATGCTCTGAGCTCTCAATTTAGGGACTTACTAATTGTATGATTACTCACTAATTTGTAGTGATTTATATATTCATGAGAGTTCCAACGGTGTGGCCACTGGTCAGTCAGTCAGTGAGAAAAATTGACAGATTTGGTCTGTTTAACCGTAAAAGATCACTAATTTGGTAGCATGATCTCAAAAAACCTCAAGTTCAAATCAATTTAAGAAGCCATGTAACCGTTTGCATGGTTACATATCAAACAATCTGGACATGATGACCCTCCAAATTTACGGTTTTACGGCTCATCGTTCTTGGCCTTGGGTCTACCGTTTCCAATTTAAATCAGACCAATGTTTATGGAAGTTAGAGGTCTATTCCCCATTCAAAGGGACATCGCCCCTGACTCTAATCGGATATGTCCACCTCCAATTACTTGCTAAATGGAAATTGTGAAGCAGCTGGATTAAGTATTGAAACTTCAAAAGATCTTTGACATTTTTGAGAGTTTAGTACTGGGATCTGATTCAGTAAAAGGTGAACTGACCAATTAGGGGGAAAAGTGGTTTTCACCGTCTTTTTACCGTTGCTGTTCGAGAGCCCGTTTTCGACTGGAGATGATATCGAATAATAAAAAGTGATCTAACTTATCCTGAGGGTAGTATAGCAGTATAGCTGCTCTTGAAAGAGCGAAGTGTTGAGGATTAGTTCCAAGCTTTTCGTATGATAGTAGCGGACTTATTTTATGATGACTAGCTTGAAGCCCGTCTCTTCGCAGTTGAAATAATCAATCTTCATTTCAGAACTGATAATGCTATAAAAAACCATTGGAACAGCACTGTAAAGAAAAGGCTCGGAAAGGAAAACGTAAATCATGTGGTAAGTGTCTATTTCTGTTTATTCAGTCGAATTTCCGCCATAATTTTTGGTACTTGCTTACTAGGATATCTATTTCAAGAATTCAGGAAGCAAAAATTTCCTGCTGCTATTTTGGTGCTTGGTAAAATATTCATTAAATATTAATTTTATCTAGAAGTGAGATTGTCCATTACAGATATTTTCCAGTTCTATTCACGGTTAACGTGGTTGGCCCTCACATGCACCCCACCCCTTGGTTTCACCACTTTTTGCACCTCTGCACTGTCCTGCCTTTTCTCCTTGTGACCATATGCAAAAATACCTGTTTTTCATTGGCCGGCTACTGTCACGTGATTTGGGTCAGGGGATTTTAGTGGCTGGCTTGTTTGACATTGTCGCTTGTCAAGCTTCACACGTTTGGAACAATCGGCCCGTGCCTAGTTTAGTTCATGTTCACATGATGTAAATCCGCCCTTCTGATTCGCCGAGAGAGATCTTTTCACCTGCCCCATTGGTTGAAAACATCTCGATTCAAAGAAAGCTTTTGACATGTTTGGCGATTCTAGAAGGGTTGAACAAGTTTTTGGAAGCAGATTTGGCGAGCTTGCTCGGAAGAATGAATGAAAATGTCGAGTTTTTTATTTTACACTTGCATATGCACCTTGATTCACATAAATCTATTCAAGTTGCATAATTTTAAGAAGAATTTAAATATTTCATCAATTCTTTACAGATTCCCTTTTAAGCTAGAAAGAATATTTAGGGCTAGCAATTTTTAAAAGATCAGCACGTTACACGCCTTACTTTCAGAGTGGTATGAGAAATCCAGCCAAGAAGACAACCGCTGCATCTTATCCCCAGGTACTTTTAGTTAGATAATTTTACCTTGCCATGACTACGTGACGCACAATATGACGTCATGACTTCGTGACGCACAATATGAAGTCATAAAGTTCATATTACTATTTATTCGCTTAAAACATATTTCTAGACTTGTGGAATTTCGTTCAATGGTTAAATTCACAGGACAGATCCTTGTTGGAAGCTATTAAAATGTCGCTGTCCTGATCCATTAGTTTATTGTAGATTAACAGAGCACTTAGAAAGTTGTAACCGGATTGTACATGAGGGCAGTGGCAGGGCAAATCAAATGAGTCTCGAGGGTATGCGTAACTTTAGCTCATCATCTATCACCTGACTCCAGGTCTCACCACTGATTGGCTCTAACACCCAAGGGACTTTTAGTTTGAGAACTTTTTGGCGGGAAGGCATGACCCACCAAATGTTTTGTATAAATCCAGGTATACATAGCCAACAAGTTGTCGCACAGGCCACCTAATAACAATGAACTGTTTCCCGAGTAACACCACAACCAATAACCATAACATTTGATGAAACACGTAGCCGAGCTCTCTTCTTCACAAGGGAACGGAACAGTATTCAAACTATTGGTTCTGATTGTTTTGAAATTTGATGTAATCCCATCAATAGGTCACTAACTGGTCTGTTATTTGATTAGGCCGGGGGACTGCAGCAGTGTCAAAGTGTTTGTAGCGAGTATGGTAGCTCCAGTAATTACACGACCAGGGCACCAGATCTCCCCGTCTTATTTAACATGTTGTGTTGAGGTGCAGTCCCAGCTAATTGATTTGATTTTCCCGCGTCCTCTTGAACCCAGGTCATGCTCTAAGACTAAGACATGTAGCGGTATGTGCAGGAAAACTTAGTTTCTGACGTGGGAAAAGTTAGTATAAGTAGTGAAACGTATTACAGGTTATTACTTGTTGGGGTGGCAATGACTGCTAATGAACTATAGTTGCAATGTGAGAGGGAGAACCATTCCGTGAAGTTTTAAATATAATGAATTTTTGAACGAAATTAAATCCGAAAAGTTTCGTTTCGTGAAATTTCACACTTGGAGGTTAATTAAATTTGCTCTTTATTTACCTGGAGCATGTGCCATTTGTTATAATCGTAACATTTGACTTATTTTCAGAGAGTTTCCCATGATATCAACGCTATGAAGATGAGACAGCGACAGGTGAGAATTAAACCTTAATTCAGTTCCTAATTTCAATTTCAAAATTTCAATCTCGATGGTAAACTTCACGCTGATGATTAAGCGCCAAATGCTCAAATTTGATTAGATTATGAGATCATTATCGCCCTATAATACCTAGCGTGGTTGCGATGTGAAAATTCTTAGGATTTTATTGAGCTCATTAATTTAGCCATGTTGGTTTCGAGGCTTCATGATTTTCAATGACCGTACCCAACCACGATTTAGACAGTGCAAACTTCCAATAATTATCATAAATCCTCCAATAATTGTACGTGATAAGATCCACAGTAGATACGATACATTCAAAGGAATGCCGACTCCAACAAGCAACTTGATCCCTCAGCTTGAACTTTAATTGGTTCTCAAATACTAACCTCGTATCACTACAGCCTCCCTCTCATTATTGCTACTTTAATCTGGTCACAAGCTGAAATCAGCCTTGCATGGCACGGATAGTCCCATTTGTTTTATCTCAACAAGCTGGATTAGATCTAAGATTTGGCAAAGTTCTTGCTTGCTAAAAGGGGCAAGGTTTGCTTTTGATCCTTATTTGCTTTCTAAATCTCTCAAAGTTTAAATGTTTGACTAAAAGGAAGTAAACCCGGTAAAAGCGTGGTGATAATAGGATACGTGATAACAGATAAGGTCCCTATTAAAAGTACTAAACAACTGATTACAACACTTAGTCCAGTGCTGACTGTAATAAAAGGTATCCTTGTTAAATTACTAAGTATTATAATTGAGGAAGTGTGAGCATTTACCTGGTCGTGTGCTGTGCTTGATAAACTGCATATAATTACAATATTAATAAGTTATCAAAAAGTAGCCTTTACTATTGTATTGAGCTGTTACGTGAAACAATCTGTAAAGATCAAAAAGTTAAAGCCTTATACAGAAATTTTATCATTGGCAAGTCGGGATTTATGGGAAATAAGATAAAAATGTGATAAAATAGACTGTCAAAGCTGATTTGTAACCCCTTGTTGACTTCAGATGGAACTGCAAAACCAGAGACTCCACCACCACCACCAGCACAACCTGCAACAACAGATAGGCAGACAGTGCAGACACCCTCAGAACAACAAACCCCTACACAGATCTGTGGATACTGGCATGGCACCACCACCTACTGGTCTCCATGATCAATCAGCAGGAGCGGTATCTCCTGGCAATGTTGGAAGAGTGTCTCCTAATATGGGCATTCTCGTTAGAGGTAAGGAAAATTTGATATCTTTTCGAACAAAACTTAGAGATCTTCTTCTTATTTCAAATCTTCCTGATTATGACCTTGCAACGCTAAAGCCCTCCGATTATAAGATAGCATGTTTAATTAGCCGTAATTAAAGGTACAATATCTCACTCCACCTCTTGATCAGGAAGCAGAGAGGAGGGTGTACCAAGTTGCCGACAAGAAACAGTAGTCACAACAACTAAACCTCGTACTACTCCAACTCTGTCGGACAGTGGCTTTGCTGAGTCACACACCCCTGATAATAATGCTATGTGTAAGTTTTAAAAGCAACCAACTTAGTCAAGATTGTTACTTCAATTCAACATTTTTCTCCAAATCAAGATATTGAGGAATAGTTCAAATTCCTTGTTCATTGTAAAAGCGAGCAAGTTTTATCTGTAACCAATTTTCTGATAATAACAGCTGTCTCCCACAGTGGCTCCTTTCCATCCAGTTGGACATTCTACCCCAGTAAGAAGATATCCCAACAACTCAGGGATCACCTACCTATCTCCTATTAACATCTCAACAGACATGTCTCATGATAGCACATTCTTTGAGGACGTATGTAAACATTAACATTCTTTAAATGTCAAAAGTCGAAACTAATATTATGGATATTGGACATAATTATTGCAATTGCATAAATTCAAGCTCAGACATGCATTAATTAACGATTTCATCGCAAATGATTTGCAAGCCTGATAAGATAATCGTATTAAATCCACCAGGTAAATTAAAAGGTATTTTTATCAAACTGTTTAATGATTGAGGATATGCCATGGACCAAACCCTTTAGCTTATAAATATATTAATAACCAATAACAGGCTCCTCTCTCAGGTTGACATGGCAGTTAACGTTACCCCGGGACGAAGCGTCCTCTCCCACAGCATTGTTAAAAACACCGCTTCAGCTGTTAACACCACTATTAACAACGCTCTTAACAACACCACTGATACTGTCGTCAACACCAGTGTGGTTAATAACACCAACACCAGCTTCACCTCTCTACCCCTCCCTCACTCTCATCACCATTCCATGTGCTCCAACTCACGACTTGACAAGATCAAGGTTTGTCCAGTTTTTTATTTCCTACTAGAATCTGATAGTATCTAATTGACTTATCAAACCAAATTAGCTGTGCAAATACCGATATTATGTTCCGATAAATAGCCGAAGAACCGTTCAGTACCCACTGTTAATTACATTACATGCGAGTTTTTGAATAGCTGTGGTAAAACAAAGCTTATTTTGCAGGTTTCTACGAAGAAAGGAGAGAAAGAGGATCCGTTTGGAGTTTTCAACTTCACCTCCCCTTCAATGAGGAGACGAGATGGAGAAGAATCGTCCTCTGATGGTTAGTTTATGTTAATATAATTTAAATAATAAATTGAACAGAATATCTGTCAATTTTTTTCTCAATTTCTTCTTTGTTTGTGGACTCCCGGTCAACTTAGTTTATGTGTTCAGAGATTAGCTGTGTGCAAGCAGGAGGAGAGTTTACCGTCGAAAGTACTTCAGTAAACTTTGCAGTTAAACTTACCGTTAAGCAAATAACCATGGTTAAGCTGATCAGTAGAATTGGTAACTGTGAAGTTTAGGATAAAGAACAGATTCCCGCAAAAAACGGTTATAACTTAGTCACTTGTCACGAAATCTACGTTTAAAACCTGTAAAACTGGGTCACGTTCTAAAAATTCCGATAATTGCCGAATTATCCAAGTTTTGAAGGTTACTGCTTTTCCTCTGTAATTTATTCTAGGCACGCTTATGATTGATTGACATTGTCTCTCCATCCAATCGACAGTACTTCGGACGCCTAAATCAGTAACTATTACCCGCCATTTCAACCATACTGATAGATTGAGTTCACTAAAAATGGTATTTTTATCCTGTCCTCCCCCAGAAGCGTGCCGAATCTCTCAAATAATTGAAACCGTTAAAGATTTTTGTCATTTTTCTAAACTGTTCCAACTAAATCATAATGGGTGATCTGACAGTTTGTATTGAGTAGTAAACCACCATTAACCTGCAACCACTTCCGTCACTTTCAAATGAATGAGAAGATTACTTTTGCTTATCAATCAAATAGTATGTGATCCATAAGACACATTTTAGTTCTTAAACGTTCCAAAAGTTATTTAAATTTGTTATTTCCAAAACCTTGTGAAGGACACTTAGCTGCAATCTCTCAAAAACATAGCCAATAATCTGCAGATATCTGGTCTTTATCAATAACTTCAAATGAATTGCTGATTGATAGGAATTTACCAAGACTAAAAACCAGGGCTAGTCGTGATGTGGACGGCGCCCCATTTTGTTGACAATAGATTTAACCTGAACTATCACCGGAAGTCCCACCTCCACTAGGTTTTTGCTGTACAAACGCACGTGAGATCACTCAAAAAAGTGCAGTGTTTGTCTAATTTGGGGGGATTTTTTACGGATACTTGATAATACTCAGTCGTCTTAAGTCTCTAAACTTACCATCTTTTCACATTATGACAAATCATTTAAAATTATCCCTCATAATTTATCCCATTTCAATATGAACTAGTATCAGCATATCTTCAGCTCAAGACTGAAGTATTGAAAAGTTCTGAAAAACTAATGATTTACCCGCTAACCACACAGTTGTCCTGCGATTTATACTAAAGGCAGTCTCACATTATTGGTTGCCTGGCAACGTCTAATTGTGACATTATTAGTTCCTTGGATACGCAGATTATAAAATTATTTCTATCTATGCTAAATAATGTCCTATTTTTCCCTCCAATTTATGATATATTCTTCCCCAACATTCCAGTGCACACTTGACGTCGTGTGTTGCATGGTAACTAGAAATTTAGATGGCCCTTAAATTTAATATTACATTGAAGTGTAGTAATGGGGGGATTCAAGTTTTCCCGCCTTCGTGCCAGGGCTAGGTCACAACATTACAACACCAAGTTAAGCTGGTCATGTTCATGTGAGGGAGATATTTTGAGTGGAGTTTAAATTCTTTATTCTTTCTCTCGAGATAGCTTGACTTAAATTCCTTAATTCTTCTCGAGATAGCTTGAAAATTGTCGTGACCAAGACAATTGACGTGACGTTGTCAAGCTTTCTTTGCAATGTGTGAAGGATGTGTAATGTGCGAATGTGCAATTCCTTCGCTCCTAAACGATAATAAACAATAGAGATGAGTCCTCTGACGGGGGGTTGCTGAACGGGTTGCTGAACAATTGAACAGCTTGTTTTACCTCACACCTCCTTGTACTATCAGTATAACAACAACTTTCCCCTCTATATAATAGACGAATACTAAATATAGGGGGAGCACTGAGCAGTAATGATCTGGTGACCAATGTTGATGCCCTTGTACTTACGTATTGCGTGGAGAGTCACGTGACGCCCTCTCTATTCAGAGTAACTCTATTCAAAGTAACTATTGTATTGTATATTGTATATTGGTCTATGATACAACTTGCTGATTACGTCATCCACGCTAAGTTACAATAGCACCAAGATAACGAAAATGAGCTGTACCTGAAGTAACTGTGAAGTGGTGAATTTACGTTTACGTTTATATAGGTGTGAATTAAATTTGAATTAGTCTACTTGATAAACTATAGATAATTCTGGTCCATCACGTACAGTTTTATACTTAATGTTAAAGTGCTGATAGCGTGTGGAATAGGTTGATTGGGTATAATTTAGGATCATAGGTGATGATAATTGATTAACGTGATATTTTGACTGTATCACGTTTCACGTTCAACTACATTTTATAGTTTTAGTATTTTTACACAAAGAGGTTTTGATGTGCAAATTTACGATCTTTGCAGATATGATCGAATTTAATTTTGTGATCAGACTTATGCCGAAGGCAATACCTGAATACCTTGTTTTACATGCCTAGAGTAATGCAACGCCTACTCACATCATAACGTTTTGCTTATCAAACTACCTGATCATAAGTAACCTTGCAACCAACATTGTTCTCAAGTTTAATTCACCTTCAGAAGACTCCAGCTCCGAATCCGAGTCTGAAACAGAAGAGCCGGTCACGCCCAAGGTTGTGGAACGCACAAACTTCGCCTGCCCCTCGAAGAGCAGCGCCCCACAACAAGCGATACAGACCACGCCCAAACAGCTGCCAGTCACACCCAAACACAAGATAAAAGTTTCACCCTCAGTCTTCATCAGCCCTAATCCCAACAACTCTGGGATCAACCACCGTCTCGGATACAGCCCTTCTGATGTAAGTGTGATTTCATTTCTCACCACTCACAAATTGGTGGCCAAATTGAATTTTGAGTAAAAAAGTACCAAAGTTCCCATTTAACAGCTTAAAGAATTTAAAAATAACTAACTCCGAACTAGATTTAAATCACTTCTAGTATAAGCGCAAATTTTGTGCTAATTTTAGTTCCTACAGTATTTATCTCAGAGTCGTGGAATTTAGATGCAAGAAAGAATGCAAACTTTTACTTGAGTAGGATTTAAAATTGCCTTTGAACAAGTGGGCCAGCTATTTGAAGAATTGGAGAATTTAGTTTGTGTAATTTAAAAAGGAACTTAATCAGTAATGATTTTCAGTTCCTAAACACACCCAAGAAAGGGGCGATGGGTTCGCCTTCAATGGAACCTTCACCCTTCAGTAAAGCAATGGCCGCCACTGAGAAGAAATACGGTCCATTAAAACGCCCTTTTGAGGTAAATATGTGATACATTGATTTTGTTATTGAGATTCATCTAGAATAATTTCTCTGTTATTATTTTAAAAGTTTTGGTTGGTAATGTCTTGTTTAGAAGACATGATGCTGTATTAAAACAAGGTTAAACTTGCGGTTGTCCTGGTTACGGATTGCATTATTGGCCACTCTGATCTGGGTATGTGAAATACTTTACAAAGAATGTAAACAATGCTATTTTTAGGATACAGTAGGAGATGACGATTGGGAAGAAGACATCAAAGCTTTGATCAGGGAAGAAGAAGCAGAAAGAAAGAGGAAGATGAGCCTAAACATTCCTTCCCCTCTTGACTTTGTGAGTTTATAATTATAACAAGTTACACAGTACTTACCTCACCTATTATATTATCATCACATTTACATTATAGATAGGGACATTGCACGGACTATCAATTAATGGGACACGGCAATAATTTGCTGTTCCATGCGATAATGGGCAGGGGAAGCCGTAACACAGCAGTTGTTGCATTCAGTGTTACAAAGTTTACAGGATACTTATAATTGATAAGGTGTATTGTAGGGGGTTGCACTAGCTAGCTGTATAAGGAAACTTTAATTCTGTGTTTAGGCGTCGGCCCTCGTGAGTGTCTTCCTGCAAAATGTATGCACCCTCGCCCTGGATTTTGTAGAATGTTACACTTTTAACCCTGAATTAGATCGTCTGCATGGATCATGGTGTTAATGCATTACTGAAATCTCCACTAAACCACCATCGAGAGCTGATCAGTAGTTTTATTGAGATTTAACCTCATTAGAGATCTGATATTTTTAGCTCACTATGCCCAGTCTTCACCAAAACATTTCCTTGTTGATAACTTGACGGCAGGCGCGGCCGCCGAATGTTTCCTATTCGGCAAAACCCACAAATTTAATGTACTCAGTACGTTCGCGCCCAAAATTATTTTCAAGCCGCGCAAGTTACGTGTAGTGAACTATGGAGAGGTTCACTAACAATTTATAGCCTGACGTATCTTGTTACATTCAGGATCTTCTTAGGACCAAAGTTCCGAGCTAGGTAATAAGGTATCTAATTGATTCATCAGACTTTACAATTGAACAGCGCCATATAAAGCGATGTTTTGGGGGTTTGTTCTGCGTGCGAATCTAGTAGTATCCAGGCGTAGTGGTAGGTCTCCGATAAAAATGAGAGGTTAATTTAATGAAGGATCCCGCAATTTATGTTGGTTGAATGAGCTCTCTCCCTAACACCGCCATGGAAACGTCCTTTCCATTGATTCACATATTGTATACTTAATTGTTCAATTGTTATATCCCATAATGCAATATTACTATTCTTGCTAACATATTGTATTTTCAGAAGTGTAAACGGGCGAGATTCCATGATGTAAACCCTTCTGCGAAATGCAGAGTCAATCTCTCCTCCAAACTCGAAGCTTCACCTTCTCTTGAGGATATGGAACAGTACTTACTGAATGACGCATCACTCGTCAAGATAGAACCAGAAGATTTGGAGTGCATTCTCAATGAAAAGACCCCGCCGGTAATTTTCCTTTTTGATTTTGGGCAATATTCAAAAAATCAAATTTCCCGGGTTTCTCTTGTAGGAGTATTTTATTTATAGATAATTGGGTTTAAATGCGACGAAGCGCACTTGATCCTTCATTTCTGTCGAAATGCATGCACCGATGCTGTTGAAATCCTACTGTAATCCGATTGTCTGTCGAGATCACCCGTGACAACCTAATTAAGGTCATTATCTTGTCCGTAGCATACCAAGGAACTGGTCGATGGTTTTTTAAAGTTTCAATGGTAGTTTCAATGGTAGACCGCCATTCGTCCTATTACAGAATTATAAACCACATCATTTCCCAAAGCGGCATGAACTTCTACAAAACAAATCATTTGCCATTTCATTCGGGAAATGTTTCTCTCTAAGCGAAATGCTAAAGCTCAGTAGCACTTTAATAATCCTTAAGCCCTCAGACACAAATGTCATTTTAAAAGTTAAACATTTACCACTGTAATATTAACACCCCAACCTAATCCTCCCTTATTTCAGTACTACCACAGCCAGGCGTTTGATCTAGAGGTTCTGATGAACGCCCCAAGTAAATCCTGTTTTGAATGGGAAGATATAGTCCTGGGAGGATCAGAGGACCAGAAGTGGATGACAGACGTAGCAAGGGATTATGTCAGTAGAGTACTTACGTTCTGAACTTACGGGAAGGACTGACACGGAGTTTAATCTGCTCCCGACCTGGAAGATAACTGAAGTGTGGTGAAGAGTGAGAGTTTATTAAAGTCTGAAGATGGGGATTGTTGAGATTATGATTGATAAAGGAACGACAGATTAAGTTTGACTTATTGAAGGAATTTGAAGTATTTGAGTGCATATGATTTTTACAGAGCGATTTGAAGATTTGGACTTATTGAGATTTTGCCTTAAAAACTCTGGGTTTCTACATCTGGATGTGGATATTAACGCTAGTTGTTGTAGTGATTACCATAACAATAACCTTCCTAGAGTACGTAATGCATTCCTAGAGTGCGTAATGCATGAATTCGTACAAGTTTAGTTCGTATATTCTTTGAATTTTATTTGAGAAAATCGTGACCAACTTTGAACCTAAGATATTTTGTGACAATTTCCCACAGTTTTCGCACATGTTTTTAATGGTAATTTTAACAGGTTTTATTTGATTTTTAAAAACTATTTTAACCTCTTGAATGATGAACACACCTATCGAAGAACATGATAAGGCTAAATATTTCAATTTTAACATACTTCTACACATTACACAACCTACCTCCAGTCAATGCATGAGTAGTTTCCAAACGAGATCCTAATCGGCTGATACGAAATATTCAAAATAATTACGATGATATATTTTTCTAAGAATTGTTGATTTTTGTACTTTTGTAGTATTTATACATTATTTGGATGCACTTTCATTCTCTTACTCTGGCTTAGTACAATGTGATAAAATATTTTTAATGAGCCAGTTACCTTGGAACTCAAGGGCTGGCTGATGATTGTTGGACTATCGAATAAAAATACAGAACTTTGCCAGAGTAAGGGAATTTAGTCGTGTTCCATGGTATTATACAGAGTGGTCTTAAAACAAGGCCCTGTAAATTGATGAATTATTGAAGGGAATTTGATAGAAACTGGGTTTTCTCTTTTGCTTAAAATTATTCTTATCTGTCAGAGATATCATTTGCATGTTTTTTGTTCATAAAACAGCTGGATATCAAGGATTGCCTCTAAACTTCCTCGAAATTATGCTAAATTTCGTGATATAGTTGACTTTAATGTGTAGAGACATACATTTACGTTGCAAGTTATTGTTACTGTTATTTCCAAACTGGATATCAGCAGTTTATTATCTTTGAATCATGAGTGCATGGAATATTTATCAGCTACAAGAACGAAAATATTTAACAATAATCGTTACCGTCTTAAATTCTTTATCACTTTTCCTTGTTAAACTCATTGTTGATTAATATAGTAGCGCTGAGCTCTTATTTTCTTACGATGAGGAATGTACATATAATAAGCAGCCAATCGCTTCGAAAGCTTATTGGTGCTACTGTATAATTTTGATTATATGTTGAATATACCTCCTATATATATGTATTGTGCATTATACAAAGTTGTCTTGTACATGATAACTAAGCGTGTTTTACTTCGCTTTAGGTTGGAACCGATAAGTTGTAAATTGTAATTGTAAGACACCGAAAGATTATAAACACGTGTTTGTCTCGTCATATATATCATAGGGCCTTACATATTATGAGCTTGAGCCAATTTTGATAGATTTTGGCCCATAAATAGGCCTAATATCAATATTTTTGGACGAGACAAATTTTATGCGAGTTAATTTTATGTCCAATTTTGATTAAACTTGATCGGACATTAAGACAAAGTACGCTCGAAGGGATTCTGCAAAACCATTAAAAATTCGAAATTTGTAATTGTCATTTTACAGGCAACAGGAAGAATATAGTGTTGTAGGTTTATAACCTACCAGGACGCGGACGCGCGCGGCGCCGAGTTGGACTCGTCGACGGTCGATCTTGACGGATGTTACTCGTCTAAATTTCTTCGAAGTAGCGCGCGCCGCTTTCTTCTCGAAATGTTACTGGCCCGACGGCAAGTGCTACGAAGTAGCGCGCGCCGGGCCAGATCATTAACAATGGTCAACGGTCGATCCATTATATGGAACAAATGTTTTACGAGTATCACCCGTTAAATATAGTGCAAAGAAACTGCTGCTAACTGCTGCTCACTGCTAGCTGCTCACTGCTAGCTGCTCACTGCTGCTGACTGCTCACTGCTGCTATGGTCGCGCGCGCGACATATATAATATATATATATATACTATAGTATATAGTATATAGTATATATACTGTATACTATAGTATATAGTAAAAGTGTTTAAAATGAAATTAACCCGGTTTTATTTGGAAAAACCTATGTTTGGCCCCTAAAATGGCCATTTTAAGAGATTTTTCAAAAATTTCAATGGGTTAATTTAAAGAAAAGGCTTAAATATATTGGTTTCTTATACATTTTAATATGCCGCACTATAGTTTATACCCATATATTGGTTGACGATGTCAACCCATCGAGATCGCTGCACTGCGAAGCAGAGCAACGATCGACGATGCAAGAAGCAAGAATGCTAGTTCGCGCGGCGCGTCGAAGCGGCGAAGTCCTCCAAACTAATATAATAAGCACACACAAGAGTTAACTTGGTCAACATTTTAAAAAACCTCCCAAAAAAATGTTTTTTTGCGCGCTAAATATTTTTGCTCTTTACACATCCATAATGACATGTTTTTGCCCAAAAAAGTGTTGAAATACTGTTAAATGATACTATTTGGTAGTTATTTAGCGTCAAAACAAGTTTTGAAAGCGAAATATATATTTTTCGCGGTGCTGAGTACGGCCGGTTAGTGTATTGTCCTTTTCAGAAGTTTATGCCTTCTCTGGCTTAATTTCATTTAATATTGTTTAATACAGTACAGTAAAGTGTCGTATAATAGTATAGTGCCATTTTCTAATACTTCAACGTTATATTGTTGAGATACCTTTAGTTGGCAGATTACCTGTTGTAAATGCAATTTCATGCTTGCTTATATGACTATTTGGATTTATAATTTATCGATTGCGGGATGAATAAACTTTTGGTTCACAATAAACAATATTTAATGTCTACTGTGTGGTACCCTTACAAGATTAATTACAGATATTATAACAGGAACGCCTGACTTAAACCCCCACATCCATCACTCATACCGTGATGCCTATTGGATGTGGAGGAAATCTACACCACAAACTGGGATATTGTAAAGGTACCCTTCAGTACGGAGTGTTATAAAGTTGTTGTACTCTATAAGTGTATATTCACCTACAAGCATAACTGCTTGGCGTGATGAGGTACATCTTTGATTGGTCGAACGTCTGTCAACAACACAGCATCATCATTTTCATAGTAGTCCCCAGCTTATGACGGGTTCATAGCGGTATTAAACATGTTTTTCTGGGCCCAAACATTCTACGCTCCTACTATGCTATTACTGGTCTCTTGACTAACTCCCAATCATCTGTCCATATGGTATTGTTTCTGGACAAATAGATGGTATACGATGCCCTCAGGCTGATCTCAGCGATCTTCATGCAGGCCTTCTTCTTCTCTTTGTTGTTTACGTTCAGGTGGTTCATAAAGGTTGGGAGGCTATAGTTGTAAATGCCTCGAGCTCCCACTTCTACTGTCTGGAGCTTGCAAGCCCATCCGTTGGCTTCTATCTCTTCTGTCAGCTGCTGATATCTCTTCATCTTTCGCTTCTCTTGATCAGCAAAGTTCTGCTCATTTCCACAGGTCAGCTCCATTAGATAAACCTTCTTTGCTTTATCTGAATAGATCACTACATCAGGTCTTAGTGGTGTAGCTGCAATGTGCTGCGGGAAGTTCCTCTGTCTCTCATCCTCATCAAATATTATCTTCCAGTCGTTGGCATCTGAAAAGAAATATCTTTTGGTCTGATGATGAGTTGGGTCAGCTAAGGTAACCTTCTCGCGCTTATTGCCTGCCTTGTGGAAGACCGACGGTGCCCTCTTCGATTCCTTGGCGATGTCGGAATTAAACTCTTCAATCTGTGATGAAACAGTCTTCATGATTTCACGTAGGACCTGATCATGGCGCCAGTTGAAACGTCCCTGTCTCAGTGCAACCTTGCAGAACGTGAGGATATGATTGAGTGTCCCTTGTTTGCTGCAGAGTTTACAGTTTCCTGAAACGGCTTTATTCCAAAGCTTTAGGTTGCTAGGTGTTGACGCAGTGTCATGGATAGCATTGACATGAAACTTTAACAGTTCCGGACTAAGTTGATAGATCAGGTTATTCCACGTAGTGTCAAATGTCATTGTATTTTCCCATGTGAGGAAGAGGTTTTGCCGCTTTTTGTCAAAAAGTGAACAAATAAGTGTCTCTTCATCAAAGGTCCTCACCATGTTGGCAGGGACGTAGCCAGGATTTTTCTTTGAGGGGGGCTGTCGGCGAGCGAAGCGAGCCGACGCGTCCAATCAAGCTGCGCAGCGAGCGAAGCGAGCAAGCTGTGGCAGGGGTCTGGGGGCGCAGCCCCCAGCGGGGTCCAGGGGCGGAGCCCCTTGGCGGGGGCTAGGGGGGCGCAGCCCCCCGGAAATTTTTTGCGAAACAGGGTGTTTTATACGACATTTGGCATTAAAGAAATTTGTAGGACAGCAATAAACTGGGATTGAAAAGAATCAAGTACTCACGTAAATTTGGTAACTTCACAACAGCAATCTGCATTCTCCAATCAGAATTTACGACTTACTCAGGCCTCATCGTCTTAAGATTTTTACATTTCCTACGGTCTAGGGGACACTATTGACTATAATTATAGAAGTCTTCTAGAATGTTTGCTTGGATTTAATGACATATATTTACTAATCCACAGTTCAAATCTTTGACTGACTGCAGTCATAAACACAGCCCAGTTACCAGGCGACCATGGGGACTAGGGGGCTTATCTTTTTTCTGGGGTTCGATTTTTTCCGGGGGGGGGCTGCCGCCCCCCTAGCCCCCCCCCCCTGGCTACGTGCCTGCATGTTGGTTAGCAGTTTCCTCTCTGATGTGTCCTCATATCTTGTCCCATACCTGAGGCCAGTTGTACCAACTGCAGGTTTTCCAACTAACTCTTGGAAGTAAAGTTGGCGCTGACGGTCTTTCAGCTCTTTGGGATAAGACCACATCTTCTGTGTGTCTGCAATAGCCTTATGGTTAGAGTACACTTTTTTGATGTAGGGGTCACTTGAGTTACAAAGTTGGTGTCCCTTAATAAGTTGGATGACTTTGTACTCAGTGCAGATGTTTTTCAGCTGCAATCCTTTCTGGTCTCTACTCCTGTAGAGGACGGTGGTGGTACAAGGATGCGCAATCCCTAGCCACTTCTTAAGGTATCTGTTACACAGTGCCTCAAGCTCTCTCACAAATGTGATGGGTAGGTTATAAACAGTAAACCCCCATGACATCTTACTAATGATGAGGTGGTTATACACCCACGCCTTCATTGGACCGGTGATTTCATCATTAGACGTTGTTTCCAAAAGGTCTTCTAACTTCTTCTTAATCATGGACCGAATTTCCTTCACCTCAAGATCTACATACATGTACATTCCTAGGAACTTCATTGGTGCTTGGATAATGGACGGCACCTGTTGTTCGCTTAGTACAAACTCTGCATCATAGGTATTGTACTTTCCTCCAGTACACTTCATAGACATAGACAGGCACTTCGCGTTTGATGGTTTAGCCTTCATTTTCTTCGACCAGTCCAGGAACTCTTCTACTACCTTCAACATCTTCTTCATCTCCTTCTCGCTCTTCGACAACAGGGTTAGGTCATCAGCAAATGCTTTCTTCGAGGTCTTGCTATCACTGAAGCTTGGCTCATACCCAAGTTGACTGCACAGTACAGCTAGAAGTTCCAGTAGGATGTTGAATACTATAAGGAACAGGATCACGGACAGTGGGTCTCCCTGGAACAGGCCTAGCTCATACCATATATTATACGAAATTCGGTAAAAAACCCAAATTCGCCATATGCAGGTGCCTTAACAACCATCGTTAAGATTGAGTGAAGAGTTATGAAAATTTGCAGGGTGTCTGAGACGTTGATCAAATCGACTGCAAAAAATGTTTCAAGTTTCAGGAGTATCGTGTATCGGGAGGTGGGTTTTCTGGAACCCCTGTTCTACCAGGAGGTGACCGGGATTGGCAATTTTGAGCTATCCCGGTCCCGGTCCCGGTCAAATGCTGATTTATTTATTTATGATCCCGGTCCCGGTTAATTCAGGATTCTTGGTCCCGGTCCTGGTCCCGGTCAATCACTCAAATTTGCCGGGATTTTGACCGGGATCTTTTACATAATTTCATTCACTCTGATTTTAAGTTTTTCCTTTCATTCATTGTGAATTTCATCTTTAAACATCCTCTGAGCCAAATACAACAATGTTTAAAATTGCTAAACAAGTTTGAGTAATAAATTATGATCATGAATTAACCTGTAATCGACCGGAATTCCTGGTACTGGGAATCCCGGTACCGGGATTGGCAATTTTGAGCTATCCCAGTCCCGGTCCCGGTCCCGGTCAAGTCACATTTTTCATCCCGGTCCCGGTAAATTGATTGAAATAAATTTTCGTGCACATACAGAATGAATGGTTAATAATTTAATATATATGTAGACCAAGGTCTGTGCACGGGATGCTTCCTGGAAGAATCCAGTTCTTTTAGCGGGGCACCCTACCTAAAGCCAAATTGAGATATAATAATCATATTCAGGGAGAAATAATCAGAAATCGAATACCAATCAAATAATATGATATATATAGGAGTAGTAACCATATTTACTATGCAAAATGCCCCAACCACATAGTGTAAATTTATATAGAATTCAAATTCCATATCAAAATTAAACCTCAATAGTCAATATAATAGCCCAAGCAAAATTAAATAACTTCTTATATACCTTACTGTCATACTACAAATTAATTAAACACATTTGAAATCTGTTAACCAGAGAATAAATTTCTAAACCTAATGCAAGTGAAATAATTTAGATGCAATAATGAATGCCTAATGTGAGTATCATCTGTCAATGTCCTTGTAAAAAAGTCTGTAAAAGAGATATGAGTAACTAATATAGAAGAAAAAACAGGAAGTTGTCGTCTGTTGAAAAATAAATAAAATATCTAGAATATAAATTAGAATATAAAAGAACATTCAGTCAATGTGTCGTCAATAAACTGTACAATTATCAAATGTTAAAACTGGGTGATACAGTCACCAAAAATAAATACTAAGTATAATAAGTAAATAAATTAAATGTGGTCTATAAAACTACCACTAGGTATAATAGGTCAATAAATTAAAAGTGGTTTATAAAACTACCACTGTGCGAACCCTCTTTAAAAGAATTAGAAGATACTTAGTTATCCATTATTCCAACATTTTGCCCCCAAGTATTGAAAGTTTTTATGTGATGTTGATATTCTCAGTCCCGGCCCCGGTCCCGGTCCCGGTCAAGTCACATTTTGTATCCCGGTCCCGGTCAGGCCTGAAATCATGTCCCGGTCACCTCCTGTGTTCTACAAGCGATTGTCGTGAAGTATAACTAGTGCAATTTATAATTGCTTGGAGTCCAAGTATTAAGTCAAACGTCTATCAGCGCGGTGCTAGCCACTTATCATTATAACGGCGCTGAGCCTTAACCAATGAATTCAAAAATAAAATAAAATTCCAAAGCAAAAGTAATTAAAGTTATTCTAAAAATATTTCATTAACTGACTAATGTATTCTAAATGTTTAAATTTTATAAATCGTTAGTTTATAATGCCTTGTTCCACGTTTGAATAAGACCAGTTCGCTTGTTATGATATGAAAACCTGTTTTATATTTCTTATTTTTCCCACAATATAATTAATTAGATCATTTCTTTCAGGCCAATGGCTACTTTATGTCGAAATTTTTACAGCAAGAAACCTCCCATCAACACTAAGCAGTATCATCTATCAATATGTCCTCGCCATCCTTCATCTAAGCTCAGAATGATAGCTCCAGCCGCTGCGGTGAACATCATGATTCCTAATGTAATCTCTGTGAGGACTATTGTGATGAATGAAAAACTTATTGAAAGAGGAGTGCTGAACAAATTTGGATCAGGTTTCAGCAAAGAAGGGGGCCTTGATAATTTTGGTACATTTCCAGAAATGGAGGAGTTCATGGTTGATGATGTGCCTGACCTGCTTGTAAATGTTGTTACGACTCTCCCTGAGTTGTCAATGTTCAATGCTTGGCCTACGACTGTCATCGCTCATACATTTGATAACTTTCAAGCAATGACAGGCATATCTTGGTTGGCTTCAATTGGTGTGATTGCTGCTTTAACAAAGCTGAGCATGTATCCATTCCACATTTGGTGGAGGAAAGAATTTCAAGAGCATGTGAAAGCATCACCTATTCAGATTGCACATTTTTTAAAGACATATTTTGAGAATGTCATCAAAAGCGGCTCTGAGGAGGGGATAAAGCTGGCTTACATGGCAAGAGCTGCAACCTGTACAGAACTTAACTTAGCTCTGTACCCTAATTTAGTTCCAATTTATGCAACTATACTCACTCCATTAGTAGCAGTTCTAGGATTATCGTATTTAACAAACTTAACATATGAGCCTCTTATGACAGGTGGAATATTCTGGTTTCCCAACCTCGCAGAACCTGATCCATATTGCATCTTACCAGTGTTAAACTCTATCTTAATAATTGCCAATACTAGGTTTCACCCTTTTGGACTACTTCTGCCAAAACCGATTTATGGGCTTCAATTTGCTCCTCCACTCGTTATTTTAGCTATGTCCCAACTTTGGTTTTCTTCAGCTGTCCTCGTATACTGGATTTCAGCAAATTTTGTTGGTTTGATTATTCAACTTCTTCTCCGCAAACCTGTTATCAGAGAATATCATGGACTGGAGAGTAAAATACAAGTGTTTGAACCTCTCTTAAAACATTCTCCTTCATTAGTTTTAATCGGGAATCAAATAGAGGCAACTAGAACAGAGCTGTTGGCTATAAAGAAAGAAGAACTCAAGTTAATAAAGGAAATGAACTCAATGAATTCCAATCAAAATGAAGAATTGGAAAAGGCTAATGAGAATCGTTTATTGTGATGTTGGAAGCATGCAGTGGTTATTCTACCTCTTACAACTTAACAGTTACAAGATTATTCCCAATTTGTTACATAAATTGCTTATAATTTATTATCAGTTATTTCTTAATTTATTTTTACATCTATAGAACTTTCTGACCAAAATATGTATGTGTTCATTCGGTTCATTGCCATAAATTAAATTGTAGATGAACCACAAAATTATTAGAACAACTTTTTTTTCTGAGTCACGAGACCAGATTTTAATATAATTTATATTATGTAACTGTACATTATAGCAGGTGACATGAGAGTTTGAAAAGATGCAAGCTGCTTTGGCTTTACGGAGGGGATATCCAACTATCATATCATGTTCTCTACACTTACCCTCTAAAACCTCCAATCTTAATCACAAGTTTCAGAAACCCTGCGTGCTCACAAGAAATATTCATCAGTCAGTTGGTTCAGGAGAGGTTTTGATAAAAGGATGTGAAAAGTTGCCTGATTTGACTTTTATGTGGCCTTTTCATTATTGGCCCTCAGACATTGCAGCCACTTTGTTAGACAATCTTCAAATGTCCTCTGGAATGCCATGGTGGAGCACTATCATTGCAGGTGGTGTTATCCTGAAGCTACCTCTTATCGGTTTCAATATCTACAATTTACGGAGGATACAGCGTTTCTTTGTTACAAGTCCCAGACAACTCACACATTTTGTTCTGACATATTTCAACAATCTGGTAACAAAAGGTGAAGCTCACGCTTTAAAGATGGCAAACATGGAACGAAGATTCACTATCTACCGGGAGGGGCTGTGTATTGATGAAACTAATAGGTTCACAGGGAACATGTATGGCCATTTAACATACATCCCAATGTACTGGATTGCAGGAATGCATGTGAGCGTTCTTTGTGGACTCCACTGGTTAAATAGGATACAATATGTTCCTCTAACCACTGGTGGATTACCTTGGTGTTCAGATCTCACTCTTTATGATCCATACTTGATCCTCCCTGCTTTGTGTGTAGCAACTGGAATCCTTAATCTATATCTACATCCGATGCATTGGCTGTTTCCCCTACCTGAATTAAAACTAAACCACATCTTACCTCTATCCCCATTGCTTGCAGTCGGTTTTAGCTTACTGTCCTCCCTGCCATCAGATATTTTGTTGTACATGATGTCCGCTAATTTGATTGCTTGTTTCATGAATACTGTTGTGTTGCAACATCCTAGGGTGTACTCAGAATTTGGGCTGCTGTCTGCCGAGGAGACACTGAACAGGCTCATTCCTCCGGCATCACTGTTTTATGAGTTAACCAGAACATTAGATAGACAAACTTTGTTGTTAGAACAAAAACGACAACAGGCAGTGTTGCAAGCGCCCGAAAGCCAACATTTGATTGAAGAGGAAGATGGAAAATTAAAACTTCTTAACAGTGATAGTGTATCAATTGTTGAGGAGAGTGAACCAGATAATGGAGCAGACAAGAAAGTAGGTGTGGAGTTACCAACTGTTAATATAGGTTTTGTTAAAAGGAAAAGAACTGGGCCAGATTCTGCTGAGAATGATCTTGCTCCTCATCTTAATATTAAGAAAGCTTTTTAGAGTTCTGTAAATGATTTTTTGATTGTGTGTTATTTATTACCCTATAGTTATAAATTTGGTACAGCCAAGATAACATTTCTTACAATCGAAGACATTTTAACTTCTTTTTTTCCCTAGCATAACATACTACTTACTAGATCAATACTCTGTCAGTCTGAATTTGTTATAATTTTTTTGCACCAAATTTAATGCTATCTGCAGGCATATTGAAACATTTTTTCCAATATGATACCTATTGTGCAATAAATTCCTCGAGGTGACTTTCACTAATTTGAAAAATGCATGATCAACTTTGTATTACAGGTACCTGGAGGTGTAGTGGTCCAGATGGCAAACTACCACCAACAAGGCTATCCTCAAGCTACAAACTGTAACTACAACACTCAATATGATGCCAGCTATAATGGTTACAATGGGTCTTACAATTCAGCTGCTCAATACGATTATCAATCTAGTCAGTATGTTCAACATCCCAGCACAGGTTTCCAAGGACAGCCTGGTTACAATCAGAATTATAATCAGAATCCGGGATACTATAATTACAGTCAAAGTTATGGATATAACTTCCCTGCTACTAATACAAATGTTAATGGGTATCAATACCCTCCCGGGCCTCCTCAGCCCATCAGCTCCTTTACCGCCAACAATTGAAGGAATGCAGTGTAATTTAAATCTGCAACATCCTGGGAAAAGACGCAAACTACCAGAAAAGAACTTAAAAAACAAGAACATGTTTCGCCAAAAGTAGCTTTCCCAGTTTCTTGTGGTACTCATCACAAGAAAGAAACTGAAGGATTTGTTCCTAAGAGAGTACCCATTCCTCCTGAAGTTATGGCTAGAATGGCTATGGCTAAAGCTAAAATTGAAGCTAATCCACGAGACCCCCAGGCGCAATCTCAGCTAACTGCTGCAATGATGGAGTACCACATGTATCAAGATGACAGAAATTCGGCTCTACTGAGTGAAGCTGATAATGCTAGACGTAAAACGGGGTACGATGGCCCTGGATTGTTCACAGGGCAAGCTTGATTGAGCCAATGTCCAGGGAAGAGCTTGATTCAGATGATATCAGAACTTTTGCTAGACCCGATATGTTCATGAACTTGAAACCATTGAGAGAAAATTATGGGAAATTTATCATGAGGAAATTTGGTTGGAGAGAAGGTAAACCACTCGGAACGACTGGAGCTGGCAGTCTCGCCCCAATTGAAATAACAGTTAAGATTGATAGGAAAGGTCTAATGAATGAACGGGAGTTTGTGAAGAAGAAACCAGAGGGTCTTGCCAAAAATGAAGGGCCCAATTGGATCTGCAAAATAGTTAATACGAAGAACCCAGTATGTGGTCTTAGTGAAATGCATCAGGCTCTTGGGCTTCCAACTCCAGTTTTCAAACTTGTTTCAGAGGACAATGGTATTTTCAAATGGAATGTGGCCACAAATTGGGGGTGTTTCACTCCGTTTAAAGCGACCAAAAGTAAAAAACAGGCCAAATCAGAATGTGCTTATCAGGCTATAAAAGAAATCCTGAGGATTGAATCAGAGCACAAGGGTGTGGAACCGCCTGCAGAAGCAGAAGAATCTTGCTTTCTACGTTGCATATTTATCCCGTCCAACAAAACCGCTGCTGGTAATAAAATGTTGTACAAACATTTCTACAGCGGAGGTCAACTAACAAATGTTCTTGAACCACCAGATTTCATAATTGAGCCTTACATCAGTCCACCTGTGTTAGATGTAGCAAATCCCACAGAAACTTCAGGCAGAAGTTACGACGTGGTGAAACCCGCTAACACCAGCACCCCCACTGTCTCCAGACATGCCCAACTTCTTACTGGTGCTGACTGGATGATTAAACCAATCAATGGGAAGAACGCTTCTGCAGCTCTTCTTGAACTGTGTGTAACTGCAAATAAACCTCACCCTGAACAGTATAGTCAGTATATTGGGGGGTCACATGTTATTACAATTACAACTCCCTGGGGCACTTACAGTCATTCGGAGGGACAGAAAAGCAAAAAAGAAGTCAGGAAGATAGCTTGTTACAATGCTATCAAGGAGATTTTAAAGAAAGAGGCTGCCAAGTTTAATTGTAAATCCCCTGTTGAGTTAGCGGAATCAGATGAGAATAATCTGTCTTATGCTCCAGATACAAATTGAAAAATTCCTTTATTCTTGAACGGTTTGCGTGTTTCAGAATTTATGAACTGTTAATATTATCTTAGTACATGATGTTATTATCAGCTAGAATTCAATCGAAAGAATTGATGAATTTTAATTTTCAATGCCTGCTTTTAAAATACACATACATAGAATAACGAGGCTTATTCCTTTAGGTATACCCCAGTTCAAAATAAATGAATGCCCATAAATTAGGATTGTGATTGTAGGAGGTGTATTATATTAATGTTACAATTCTGTAAAGTATTCAATTGGTACTTTGGCTTTACTGCGGAGTTGTTTATTTTTGTTTATCTATTGATCTCTTCTCACGAAATTTCTCAATATTGCATTTTGTAAAACAAAGAATGAAACTTATGAATTTTCTAACGTAGTGATATTGTTTTGAAAGGTCCTTCCTTGCTATATAGCGTGATTTATTTACAATAATGGTGAACTTTAGTTTTAAACTAAATGAAATCACTTTACATAGCAAATTAACGGAAAAGCATTTGCAATGGATAAAATCTTCCAAGAGGAGGAACGGAGAATTGACCTTGCGAGTATTAGAAAGATTGATAGTAACATAACGCATATTTTGGATAAGACGGATAATGTTGCGTTTTACAGATTCGACGGAAAAGCTTGGGTTAGTTTTGACTCTTATTTAAGTATGTATAACTATAATACCCCTGGGGCCGGGGGGGGGGGGGGGTCAATCTCATGATGTAGGTGATCCAAAAAGTTGTATTTTATTCGCTTTACCAATGTATTTATAACTTACGCTAGTAACTCCTCCAGCACAAGCAAGATATACACGGTTCTATATTTGTGTTCAGTCGCTCCGAGCCACCCTTTTACGGGTTTACCATTTTGAACAGGAAAAGCTTGTCAGATAATGTCATTGAGGTATGTTAATCCGCGTCAGGCCTTTTGTAACAATGGTTTATGTTTACTTTAATATTGAAGAATCACATAAAAAGAAGTTTTTGTAAGTTAAGTTACTGTGAAAATCTGATATTTTGGTGTATGCAATAACTCCTCCTAAGTTATAATCAATTCATGGAACATTAAATTTATAAATACCTATTATTAAATGATTTATCAAAATTATTAAAATAATGATATATTTTACTTTCAGCTCTTAGTGGACGGTCTGGAATTCCAGCGATGTGACCTATATCTACTTTACAAAACTTGTATAAGTGGTGCCTGCGACACTGGCATCAAAAGTATTTGGTTTGAGGACGATGCTGGCTGCATCAGGATATCTACTCTGCTGCACAGGTAAACAATACCCATTACTTATTTAGTTATTTACTTTCTCTCTTCTGAGTTCTAGTATTTTACTTGATCTCGCGTGTTACATGAGGTTAATGCTGTAGAGTGTAGAGTTGATAACATAGCTATGATTGAACCACAAATTGTTGCTGTCAGTATAACTTTGAAGTAAACTTCCATTAGTAAGTCAAGTTAATTCTACTATATTTGGTATCCCCAGATTACTAAGATTAAGAAACGAAAGTCCAACGGAAGGCTCCGGAAACATCCTTCAAATGTTCGAGAAATCAAAAGATCGAGTCAGACAGTCTGCCTCACCAGATCTCAACTGTTCTCCAGCCACCTCCCCACCTTACCAGCATAACAAGAAGAGAAACAACGCTTCTAGAACATTCCAGCAGCACGACGAGCACGATCATCGGAACAACAGTTACAGGTATAGTACTGGTGTTTTATAATATTTTAAATATGCAGCATGCAAAGCATGATAGCTATCTTGATTATATCAGAAACCAGATTAAATCTTTACTGATAGAATTTGGTATAAGTTTCCGTATCACAAGTATGCCGTGTTCGTGTACCAAGCGAGGCCTCGGACGGGAAGATAAACAGTTGTACCTTTATTTTATGAGGAAAACTATATATCAAGTACGATCTTTTTGCGAACTTCGGCTGAGAGGATGGAGGAATTATTCTCTCTGATTTATTTAAATTAATTGCTTCAGGCACGAGCACGACTACAGGACGAACAACAATTTCAAGAGCGGAGACGAGGGACGAGGAGGTGGAGGATATAGAAATAGTCACAACATTAGTCACAACCCTGGTCTCAACCCTGGTCACAACATTAGTCACAACCCTGGTCTCAACCCTGGTCACAGGAGTGGTCCCGGAAATGGTCACCAGGGCCACAGACCGCATGTTAAACATCAGAACCCCGAGAAACACGGCGGAAATGGTGATAATTGTCTAAAAGTTTCTGGTGCGTAGAAAATTATTCAGAATTTAGGCACATCAAGTTATTTGATAGGTACTTTCATTATGATTGTACCGGCACACGAAGATGCACTAATTTCCTTGTCATTGCTCTACAAAATAATATTCTATAAGCACACTCTAAATTCCAATCGTATTTACAGGCCAGAAGAAAGAAGGAAATAATCTGTTCAGCATGTTCTCTGAAGCGCACAAGCGCTACTCAAAATCAAGTATAAGTGATCAGGAGGTTGAGGTTAGTCATGATTTTTAAATGATTAATTAATTAAGTAATAATGTTAATTAAGTTATGATTTTATTGGATCTAGAGGTCTGTTGTATTTTCGTATGATACGGTCATACAGTATGATCGATGTTATCGTATCATGTTACCCATTACCTAATATTATGATCTGAATTACGAAAATAGAGTATGTTGTAACTATACGCACCCTAACTCCTAAGTCCCTATAATTTTCTCTTTTTGCAACTTAAATTCGTTAAACCATAAGGAGATCATCCATTATCCATTTTAAATTGAGACCTGTATTACCAATATTCAATAAATCATCCGTTATTTTAGGTAATATCAGATACTAGAGAAACTAGGAAATCTCCTGATCTACTCCCAATACCAACTGTCAACAAATCAGTTACGATAATGAAGAGATCAAATTCTGAACATCCTGATAACACGAGAGAGTCTAACATTGTACCCGATCTTGAAGGTAAGCTTCTCTTGTGAATTGAGATTAATGAACCCTAAAACAGATTAAACAAGTGGTTGAAAGTTGTTTAGGTGCTAAGGCCACAGGGGGGGGGGGGGGTCCGAGGTCAATTTTGAGATTTTGAGATATGTTGTACAGCTCGATCTAAATTTTCGAATGCTTTTGTCCCCACCGTAAAAAAAGTTTCTGCATCTGTAGATATCGCGCATAAAATTTTGAGGTTTACCTGTAATTCTATTGTAAATGAAAACTTCAAATACAATTTTCCAAAGCTGAGATATGAGGTTAACCATGGGTGGGCGTCTTAAAATTGTCAACAGTTAACGTCATAAAAAGAGATAGGAGCAAAATTTTAAAAATCGCTGCATTGTAACTAATTGTGGCTATCTCAGGAACATATGTTCCAAATTTGAGATAAAACGGATGAAAGCTCTAGGAGAAGGCAATAGTTAACCTCAATTTTACGACAAACTAGGCGCTCTGATCTGGGGGGACCTCCCCCCCCCCCCCCCCCCCCCCCCCCCCCCCCGTGGCCTTAACATGTTAAATATACTTTTTTATGGCATTCCTTCAGCTTCCGTTTCGTATGCTTTTAAACATTCTGTTCATGTTATTCGTATTTTTCCTGTGTAGATTATCGCCACTAACTGATAATTGTTTGTAGGTCTACGCAAGAGCCGTAGCTCAGAAGCTATTACTGATCTCTCACTAGCAAAAGAACCGTTAAAAGACGTTAAAAGTATTCCTATTTCTTTTCAAGATCTCATCAATAGTGTTCAAGCAACACCGTGAGTGTAATCTACTTATTCTAACCAGCTAATTATCTGTGTTTTAAAATAAGTTCCGAGAAGTTTGGTGACTAAGTTCAACTTTTTGCAAATTGAGCGTCTACTTTAGTATTTAAAGTTAGTAATTACATGATGGCGTTTGGCGCTTCCTCATCCCGATTGCACTACGAAGGTACTTTAAAGCTCAGTGATACTCGGTACCTCCCTGATACTCGGTACCTCCCTGAGTTAAAGTTGTTAATTAACCCCTCCCCGCTTAATAGGGTCTGTGTTTTTGTATCTGACTACGTTGACGGAAACGAAACTGGGTCGTAAATATGTGCCATCCCATGGTACGGTTCTAAATTACCCGGATAAGCGGCATGAGATGCCGGATAAGCGGCATGAGATGCCGGATATATGACCTTAAATCTTTGCAGGAATGGAAGACCTCTAAGTTGTTATAGTATCGAGGGAAGTTCGTCCTCAAGTGCTGAAGAAATTGTTGTAAGTATTATATTATCAAAATTCTTTGTTATTAATAGCTCTAACTCATTATGTTATGATATTATCTTATAGAGCTAATTAGGATTTATTTGTCATTTAGCCAACTTTGTATGATAATAAGCTCGATTTCATGAGTCATGACGTTACATATTAAAACTTTACACTGAGTACTTTGAAGTGTAGACAGTAGAATATTTGGCAAATGTCCATTTAACCACCTCCCTACCCTTACAGTTGTCCAGTGGTGAAGGTGACGCAGAGTCTCAATCTCCTCGCTCCTCTAACTCTGAGCCCTCTCAGCCCCTCTCCATCAAACTGTCCTCAGCCCTCCCTCCACAGCCGTCTCTCTCCCTCGACACCCCCTCTCGTGCATCCATTCCTGAAGCTACCTCTGCAGTGTCCCGTGTAGCTTCGTCTCTGTCAATGTCTGATTCAGCTAAATTGCTGATGTCTCCGCTTGATTTTACAAGAGTGACTGGTCCTGAACAAGCCCATAAGATGAGCAAGGGTGCCGCTACTCCGACTAAACGAATGTTGTTTGAGAAGAGAAATAAAGACGGTAAGTTTTCTGTTAATTGTGTTGAAATTTACTTATCAAAAATATCCCAAATATTCTTTTGTGGTATGCTTTAAAATAAATCTGCATGCTTATTCCAAAAAGCACACTAACGCAGCCCACCGATCTTGGCGTCATCAACTATAAAGGGTCTTTATCACGTACGAACACAAAATTAAGAGGTTTTTCCAGTAAACACTGAATACCACACTAATTGAAGTATTCTGTATAAACTTTATTTCAGAAGGACCTACAGCTAAGTTGGACATGGACTTGACACAGTTTAAACAAATGTTGATATCATCAATTGAGGAGGACGATAAATTCGCTGGAATGTTATTCAATGTCTTTCAGAAGAAGTTGATTGGAAGCAGATAATGCAAGTTTGGGTTTGTAAATTAAGTTTCACTCGCTAATATTTATTGGATGTGTTCGTACTATTTTCGTGGGAAGTAATGGAAGCTGTCCAGTGATCACTGATTGGTTCTGTTTTTCTCATAGTGGAATGTTTTGATACTATTTTGATATTGGTATGGTTGTCCAGTATTGACATCCGTGCAGCATAGCTAAATGACCAGTCCATGTTGCTGGGTTCAATTAATTTCGTGACTATCCATTAATAAACTCGGTTTGAGCCGATGAAGCAAATTATGTTTGTTTATAAATTTTCATGTCTCTTTCACTGACGTATGATTTATTGTGATTTCCATATATTTTGCACAATGTAATGGTATGTTAATTTTCATTGATCTTACAGATTCTAAGTGATTGTTGTAGATGTTTGAAATCAACAAAATTGTCTTCAAGGATCTATCGGAATGCCGGTCAAAAACCTGGTCCCGGTCGATCCTTGTCGTCGATTAAAAAGCTGTATTTTTAAAGGAGATGCCTATAGTCATGTATTTAGAATTATGAATAAGAAATTCAGTATTTGAAAATTTCTCAAACCTTCGAGATAACTGATGTTACAAGTTAAAGGAATTTCATATATACGAATTACGATTAGTGGAATGCTCGTTAGTTTAATTTAACTTTTTTATGTAACTAATGAAAAAAGTTTTTAAAGTATAATTTAACCTAAGCAAAAATTCAAAACGTAGTATAATCTTCTCCGCTACATTCAATGCTAAATGTTTTAAACAAGTTAAATCCACAGCACATACGGCTGTGTCTTCTCGCTTAATGAATAGCACAAACTTGAAACTATTTTAAATATCTCGGGAGTATCATGCCTAGTATGTTACTAAATTACACGGTGCCAGGTAAGATACATTGGAGTCTTCATGGGTATTGGTAATTATAAACGTATTAGTAACGGAATCTGGGATAATAACTGTACTTTTTGAATATCCAGCTGTCTGAACTCTGAATGTAGGGTTAAGTGAAGCACATTTGAAAAGTTTCAAAGCAGCGTAAAATATCATTGTTTTGATGATCCCAATTTCCAGTGTTACCAAGATCGATTTATGTTAATTATTATTTTGATCCTCCAATTGAACGTGAACGCTAATAAATTGATTTTAGATTGTTAATGATAATTTGTTTTTAAAAAACAAAATAAGTTCCTACAGGAATATAAGTAGGGAATTTCGTTTTTTCGTTTTTAACTTGAAAATTTGTTGGAGTCGTTGTTTTGATAAGTAAGTTTCAAGGATCGGTGACCGAATGGGTGGAAAATGAGTGAAAGTAGCAGACAAAATTAAAATAATGATTAAAACCCATGTAGACACCGACGTGCAAGCTTTCTCAAGCAGTTAATTATTGTTTACTGTATAGAAAGTAATGTGATTAATTTTACATGGATTTCACTCTTTCAGTTTCAGTGTTTGTAAAGGGCCGCTTATTAAATGTTAAGTCTGGAAATAGGACAAATTTGGACCATGATCTTACACCTTCACTGCTTAAAATTTTCCTTCCTACTTTTTTTTTCAATAGGGAGTCAGTAAAGGCAACTACCAAAGTCAATTTGCGTGATAATTTGGTTTATCAATAAGTTTACTAATTGTGAATTGGTTTATCGAGATAAGTTGGCTTATTTTCAACAAAAATAGTTGATTACCACCTTGCTTGTAAACGGGCTTATAAATGTAAAATATAGCTAAACACGGCACGTTAAACACGGCACGCTAACTAACACGGCACGCTAACACGGCACGCTAACTATTAACAGAGCGAACTTTTTTTGACTTTTTAAAGAGTTTTAAACTTAAAGGCATGCTACCGGTCTCAGTGAAATGCGGTCAAAACTAAGTCCATATTTTGTAACACAGATAACTCTACTATACTTTGCACAAATGGAAATTTTATTATTATTATATTATTATTTAAATAGCTTATTTAAAAGCTATTTACAACTTTATATAACATACGTCAATGATAACTTTGTTTCAGCCTAATTTCGATGGGACCAGTATAGCATACCTTACTAGTTTGAAATTATAAATCATTGGGTATTTTATTTAAAAGACCAAGAAAATGAGAGTACGATGCAAAGTAAAAGAATATTTTTAAAACTGGAGCCTTAAAATAGTTTAGTATGAAATATGATATCGTGTGTTAAATATTACATTTGGATTTTGGTGGGAACATGAACCATATATGTTCTGACACGTGAGAGCCCTAAACCAATCAGCTTTCAGCATTGACCAGTCAAAACCCAGAATCACTGTCACGTGTCAAAACAAATACGGATCACTTTCCCATCAAGATCCAGATTTATAATAATATGCATCACTTTTTGTAAGATGCTTATTTTAATGTACATAACTTTTATTGGGAAAATTTTTTGTTGTTGTTGTTTAAGAGGTTAACACGATTCGGCGATGAATTTTCTCGCTCTTTTTACCGTTGAATCACGCTTATGCTAAGGAATGAGAAATATTTTTGCCGCGATTAATCTTGATACCTGATAGCAACGGTATTTTAACTGTATCTGCGTGCGTGATATTAGACATGAAGATTTTATGTATCTTATGTATTGTCTTTATGATCACATTATGACGGAATCAAGATTTTAAGTTGTGCATACAAAGATAAGATTTGAAATTTAAAATAAAAGTGAAAGTTATGCTATTTAAACGATGGAATGAATAAATATTTAACATAGATTGTGTAGTGTATTCGAGAAATTCGTTACATCGTATTTTATGTAGTTGAATAAGCTAGATCTCCCTACAGTTTAACATACCAGTCATACCTACCCTGCTTATCATTGTTTCTCCTGTAATATCCATTACAGAATAATAATAATTACTGTATTGGTCACTGTGTGTAATGTTATAAGCAGGCTGATAGCTGTTTTTGTGTTATCTCATTATCTCTCAGTTACATTCCTACATTTCTACTGTTATTCTCCAATTACTGTTAGAGGATGGGTTATAGAATATAGAGGGTACTATCCAAGAATTTGGGACAAACTCTAAAGAGGAACTGCGAACCCTGATGTGGGACAGGGATATATGGAGGGGTTATCTGGCATAGATCGGACTTAGTTCCGACATAGTTGTAGTAGTAGTAGTAGTAGTAGTAGTAGTAGTAGTAGTAGTAGTAGTATCCCAGAAGTAACCAGTTTTACTTAAATAGGTCACTAGTAGGTAACTGTACACGTCTGTCAAAGTAACACTGTGTCAAAACAAGAATTACGCTCGCAGTTATACCCACTGCTGAGATGATAAGACCAGTAAATGGAAAATTAGTGAGATAAATAAATATCTCTAGAAATAATCTGAAAATTGACCACCATTTTTGAGAAAATAAATTTTGGTTTTGATCTCGTAATTAATTTAGTAATTGGCTTATACATAATACAACATATCGTGGTATGGTAATTGCCGGCAAATCATTGAATGTTTTAAGAAAATAGCATGTCGCATTTTCTTCTTGCCAATGTTAACGCTCACTACACACTTCAATGAAGGATAAATTAGTTGAATTTCCAAAAATAATTGTCCTAATTATATCACACGCTAATTGTTGCGCTGGACAATTATAACCATAGACTTCCTGTATTTATACAGCACTGCTTCAATACAATCGTAATTAATGTATTGGTCTTAAGAATAGTCTCAAATGAAAAGCTGCTTTCCAGCAATTCAATGAATTTACCGTATCATTCCAGGAAACTGAAATATCAACACGGTGAAATGTACTTTTTACAGAATAATACACATCAATGTTGAGACATGTGTTCACACATATAATACATTTTTAGAATTCTTTTGGCATACTATTAATAAAGACTCTAAGGAGGATTAGAAAGCTTAAGTAGAAATTGCCTTATAAGTTATATGCGTTCCTGCAGCAATAACATATTCTTTCGAATTGCGCAAAGTTGCAACGTTGTGCAGACAACAGCTGCTCAAAGAAGGATATTTAAAAATATACTCGTAATATATGGAATGGAAGGATTAATGATTGCGCCGAAGTTAAATATGAGGATCTGTATTTAAAGATATTGAAGGACTGCATTCTAACTGTTTTGATTTAATGTACGCAACGTTTCAAAAATGTTTTCAGATTATTTTTGTCTGCTTGAGTTATATTTCGGTGTTTCCAAGCCTTTGGAATAAAAGGTCATTATGAAGTATACGACGAATTATGGGCCGTTCACCTATTAAGTAATCACTTGTTGACCCTTTTAACACCCCCTCCCTTTTTAAAAACTGACATCAATGTGTAGAATTAATATCAATGTAGTCATTTCGAAATCCCCTCCTTCCCCCTCAGTGATTACGTAATACTTTAGTTTGTGAGTTTCCGTGATATTAAATTAATCAAGTTACCAGATCAGTAGAATTGATATCGACTGGGAGCTGAAAATAATCGGTTAGATTCGTGATGGTGTGCCAGATCGGTTTATTTTGTAAGCTGATTGGTTTACCGTTGCCACGAGTCAAAACAAAAGATTGCATCACTACCTAGCCCGTTATTGACATAATTTTGTTGGTCGTAAGATTTCGTTTTATTCTCGATTTCTTTCAATTTAGATTTTAAATCATGTTTTATGATTAATTTCACAAAAAGTTCAAATTGGTATTCATATAACTGTTTTATTTGTCATTAAGTTAGTGTTAAAATTCGGATGAAATGTAAGACAATGCGCGTTTCTCTGTGAGTCATTAATGTGGCAGTTAACTCGAAATTTCAAATTTTACCAACATAAGGCGCTCGAAATGCACAAAGGAACAATTTACAGTAGTAATTTTAGGGTAACTCGTAACCTCAAAGCTACCAGACATTATAAAAGCCTAATTTTTAATCTTTGATAACGTATGGCAGATATATGGCTTAGTTTTCTATTTTTGTCCCAAGATAAGTGACAGCCATGAGCCAACGATTCAACCTGACACCTCGATTTACGATTATTGCTCAACATGTAATAATCCCGCAAAATGCATGTATAGATCACTGATCGACTTCAATAGGAAATCATTCATGATAATAGGCTACACTACATGCAAACCTAACGAATGATCGAGAAGAACTGGAGGGTTGTATCACTAGTTTTGTCTTATTATCTAAAGGCAAATATTCAGATCACCCTACCGGCGCGCACGTACGTACATTTTATTGAATCACTAGCTGACTCAATCATCATGAATAACGCGCGCATGCTGATAATAAAATGTTGTAGGTTTACAACCTACCAGGACGCGCGCCGAGTTGGACTCGTCGACTATATGGAACAGATATTTTACGAGTATCACCCGTTAAATAAAATGCACACCAATTCCAAATTCATAATTACTGATTACTAGTAGTTGTACAGTGTAGTCAATCGCGGGATTCATTAAGGGGTGATACTCGTAAAATATTTGTTTCAAATATCAAGACTGTCGAGAGATTAATTAAATCGGAATTGCTTCCACTGCCAATTATAGTATAAGTATATTAGTAGCGTCCGTTATTGGCAATAAACTAAAAAATTGAGGGTTATTTAATTATTATGCAATATTAAGCGTCATATCAGCGCCAAGCCACAAGTATAAAGCTATTATATCATATGCATAGTACATTTGCAAAAATAGTTAATAAAAGCTTGCCTTGTCACCTATATTATTATTATGTATTTTGCAACGGATGTTACTCATCTGGATTACTTCAAAGTAGCGCGCGCCAAACCATTAACAATGGTCAAACTTGTATTGAGATCCACTTAGGCCTGATAAATGTATTTTGCGGTGCCTGGCCTGTTATTTCTCCATATTTTCAATTTTGTGTATGAACAAAAAAGCCTGAGGTCCACACTCCACAGGTAAAGATAAATAAAAATAAAAATAAAGTCATAAATGATAAATGATAAAAGGAAAATGTTCTGTGCATTTTTTTGCTAGTAATATTACGCGCGGCTTTCACCTGAATCGTTGTTCAGGAATCGAGCGCTCATTTGCATTAAAATATTTATCTACGAATGTTTATCCTCCAAACTTATCTTATCATGAAATGGCTTACTTTAATCGGCAGAATAACTTTTTATTATGTGGCGTTGCACCTACAAGCACACTGTATGCATCAGCTGATAATAAATTCGCAGAAAACGAAGTTGCATTGTGATTAAATTCGTTCGTAGATGCTGAATTGAGTATCTTCTGACTTCTAAATGATACATCTAACAATTTAGATTGACAGACGAGTGTTTTAAAAGCATCAAATAAGCCTGAACAACTAAGCAATTGTGAATTGTGTCCGCTACTTGTTACACGACCTGCACATTTCATTTCTAAAGCATTTAACTTTAGGCCATGCTTGTTCCATTTGAAATATATATATGTAGATAACGAAACTTCTTCTGTATGCTGTAAATTAAATCAACCTTTTCATTGAAAGCATTATTTATTAGCAGCAGCGTGTCATACCAGCATTGCAGAATAAAAATGTTGTTTTATTGTCTGTAGTTTGTAAAGTTATCTATGATTTGAGATGCCTGTTCATGTTGGCGCCCCCCCCCCCCCCCTCCGCCGAAAATGCGCCCTCCTGTTGCCCCCTCCCCTTTTGGCGCCCCTCCCTAAAATTGAACAAATTCAAGGTGATTTTAGAGGATATGCCGGTAAAATCTCTAAAAAAGTGTGTTTCTAAAGCAGAATGCACAGTTCTCAGTTAAGTTTTTCAAAATTGCCCCACATTCTTTTGGAAAGAAAAATTTTTATTTACCACAAAACAATCAATACATAATGTTATATTCATAAATAAATTCAAATTTCAATTTCAAACACATATACAGTACGCCGCGCACACAGCCACAATTTTCAATTGTTCAGAAATTCGTAGGTCAGCTGTAGGCGCCGCGCACAGGATCTATTTAATTGTTATCTTACAATTACATGTCGCATTTCTTAATTACTAGAGCCAAAATTTCAGAAGCAAAATAATTTAAAACATATTTCTGTCGTTCACGCAGTACAGGCCGTGAGCACTGCGATCTAATTAATAGATCGAATAATATTAATGGAGAAATTCCAAAAACCGCGCGCTCGTTATTTGTGATTAAATTGAGTGCGCGCATCTTTGAACAGCAGTACCGCTCAAGCATGAAGTACTAAGCGGTACGCAGTTCTGCGTGAGGCGTAGCATTTGTAGCACACGTTTCATTCAACTAATCAATTATGTGACATGTAATTATATTAAAGCAAAAAGAATATTAATTTTAGTAATAATTGACGTAAACATATGTGTTTAAATAACATTTATAATCTAGCGAGTTACCAATAATATAATACTATTTGTTTGTATTATTGATTATATATGTTTACACTAGCCTATATTATGATGGAGATATACATTATATAATTGCTCCAATATTCAACACTGCTTCAAACGACGATTTTGCGCCCCCCCCCCCCCTAAGATGGTGCCCCCTGGTCTGGTGTTATCTTACTCAAGCTGTCCAGAGCAGACCTTCATACTTTTCCTACTTTTCAGCAGTTCCTCCTACTTTTCTTCTATTATTTGACAATTTATTCCTGCCTTTTGTTTGGCGTTTTTTATTGTTACCTATCTAAGTTGGCCATTTCTCTATACTTATCTTAATACTCTGATTTAGAGATCTGATTCAATTTGAGGCATCCTTCATAACCCAGCAAGTTATATTTTGTCTAATTTGCTTTTGCAAAGTTCAGAGTTTATTTCCATTGCTTCATTATGAACTGTGAAGATGTAGTCACATTAAAATCACAGAAATTGTCTAATAATTATTAATTACATCTTAGCACACCAGGTATAATAAAACCTCGTTTTACAACTTCTTGATTTACCGCAAACAGCCGCAGCCATTTCCTTCCCCCAAATTGAGTTTCACATATACAATGTGAATTTTAAGAACCCTGATTTACCTCAAACCCAAATTACTACAGCTTTTTTTTTACCCAAACTCTCCGATAAATCACTGTATTTTGTTTCTTTTAACCACAGAACCTCGTTCATTGGCCGTAGGTAAGACCAAGGCAATCAACGACTAATTTAATTTCTGACAATTTTGAAACCTTTTGGGACATGCAAATTGTAACATTCAAACTTACAACGCAGATTGTCGACTAATCCCAGAGTCTGGTTTTAAATACAGAATGTTTTTTTAGTAGGTGCTATGATTGAAAAAAAGTTAATTCATTGACTGATACTGGCTTTTGTTATATAGATGGAAGATACTGAATATCATTCTTCCAAACGGAGGAGAAACAACTCTGATTCCTCCAGTGACTCTGACTCTCCAGTAGTTGAGCTCAGTTGCAATCAGCGCAAAGCACTTTCAGGAGAACCAGTGTGTGTTGTCTGTGGAGGTATGGTGCTTACATCTGTGACATGTACAATGTCGACATATGCAGTACAGAATGTAAAGAAACCAATCAAGGAAAGTGTCAGCAGTCGGCTCTACAAGCAGATCTTATTAGCAAGACTACAAGAATTGTTAAGATTGATAAAGTCACTACTTACTCAGCTGAACAACGACCAGCATTGCCTAGTGAAGCTAAATGTATCATTTGTTCAAGATTTGGGATTGAAATTGTTTTGGATGTTGGTAAAGTTTGTAGCATTGAATGTAAAGACATTGTACTGACTCCAGATAAGGTCTTGCAGTCTCCTCAACTTAAACTAGACTCTGAAATCACACTACTGTCAATAGTTCAGCATCAGGAAATTAGGAAAACTCTTGAAGTTCATGTCCTGGATGGTGACGCTACTCCGGCAATTCTTGACTTTAAACAAGTTTATCTCATTGAAACACTCTTTCAAAATATGAATAATAGTGGATATAAGATTCCAACTGCTGTTCAATCTCAAGTCATTCCAATAGTTCTTGATGGTAGTGATGTGTTGGTGTGTTCAGGTACAGGAACAGGTAAAACTGGTGCATATCTGATACCCATGATCCATCGAATACAGTTCTGGGTTGATAAAATATCAACTGATCATGTTTTTGGTTTGGTCATTCTACCTACAAGGGATATGGCAATTCAGGTTGAGAAAATGACAAAAGAGTTGTGTAAGGGTATACGTAATATGAGAACTGGTCTAGTTGTGGGTGGTCTGTCAACTGCACAACAGAACTACCGATTAGAGTCAAATATTCAGATTATCATTTGCACTCCAGGAAGACTACTAGAACTATCCCCAGATTTATCTCAGTGCTTCACGGTGGTTTTAGATGAGTTTGATGTTTTGCTGGATGCTTCCTTTCACGAACAAGTTAAATCTGTAATGAGGCTCCTTCCGTCCCGTCATCAGACCCTAATGTTCAGTGCTACAATATCTGAGGAAAGTAGAAGATATGCTAAGCAACTTCTATATCACCCAGTTCAAATTAATGTGGGTAAACCTAGCAATCCTACTGAGAAAGTAAAACAGATGATTTTATGGGTTGAAAATGATTGCAAAAAGAAAAAGCTCATATCAATTTTACAAGACAAGAGATTTAACAAACCTCCTGTATTGGTGTTTGTTGAGTCCAAACTTGGTGCACTTCTGCTAGCTGACTATCTAATAAACAAGGATATACTGTGTGCTGTTATTCATGGTGACAAGACACAAGAAGCGAGGACTAAGATAATATCAGAGTTGGAAGAAGGGAGGTATCCTGTGTTGGTCAGCACAAATATCCTCGGCAGAGGAATTAACATGCCGTCTGTTAGCCATGTTATACTCTTTGATTTGCCCCCAAATACAGATCAGTATGTACATCAGATTGGGAGGGCACTGAGTGAGAACAAGATTGGGACTGCTTTTATTTTTATAAATAATACTAATAAGTCTATGTTTTTGCAGCTCTATGAGCTTTCAGTTTCTTCCATGGTTACGTTACCAACTCAACTTGTAAATTCTCCTCATCTTGCTTATCAGAAACAATCTAAAGCAATCAATGAAAATAGGGAGAAAGTAAAGTTGAAGTAACGATAGAATCTTTATCGAAATTATTCATGTTGGGATGACAATGTTCTTCGTGTCTGTATTGTGTGACTTAAATTGCCATTTATCTACGAGGTCATTCATCTGTATCTTGTCCTTAAGTAGGTCTTTAAAATTGCTTAATGTAAAGATATTTTCTTTTTCACGATTGTTTTATTTAAAGCTCATTTGTCGTTTAATTTGCCGGTTCTGTCCAAGAAACGTCTTTTTCTGCTGTCACATCAAAACCAAACGGACGAATGGACAATGTCACCCCTATTTTTTGCTTCTGTTTTGTTAATTGTCATTTAACCTGTAAATGTTATTTTAACACCTGTTTTATTATGCATGGATTACTGTTAAATATATCGAACAAATAACATAGATGCAAACAAGACAGCTTATTCCAGCTGATCCATGGCTAAAATTGTTTATATATGTCAGTTAATGTGGCCCTGGTACTATGTAGTCAGACTAATTCCCCGTGCAATTAATGTTATTTTTCTGTATGTTGTTTGCAGATTGCATTCAGATATCATTTCTGTATGAATATCATTCTCTCAAAACTTATCTGGTATGAGTTTTCTAATAATTTGGGAGATTTAACCCTATACACTAAATAGGAGTGCAGCATGGGTGATCAAGATTACAGCTCAGACGCCGGACTAAAGCGTCCCCCACCCCCAGGTTAGTTTTATCTACTAGTAACGATTCTACTGATTACGATTCTACTGATAACGATCTTATCTACTGATAACGATCTTATCTATTGATAACGATCTGCAAATTATTTCAATAACTTTATCATTAAGTTGTTTTCTGAACTTGTTAAGTTTTACATTGTCCGTGATACATTTTTTAACGTGATTCCAAAGTCACAAAGCAGTAAAGTTTTGTACTTTCAACAGTTGTATTACTTTCAACACGTCACTACTATATAACAAATATTTAGAGTGAAGGAGTACGAATGTGTTAGTTCGAAATATTTTCAAGTAATGCTTCCCTAAAACTCCGCATTTCACTAGTCAATCAGAGATAGTCAACATGTCAAATCATTAAAATTAAAGTTCTTGCAATAAAATATAATTATTTTCAGATGAGTACAGCAGTTATGGGGGAGAACAAGGAGGAAACTACGATGCCGGAGCCGGTGGAAACTACCAGGAAAGCTCTGGTTACAGTTACGACGCCGGTGGCCAAGCTGACAGCGGTGGCCAAGCTGACAGCGGGTACACCTACGATCCCAATGCGAGCAGCGCTGCAACTCCATACGATCCAAATGCTAACACTGGTAATCAATATGCTCCCAAAGCTAGCACTAGGGGCAACAGCTATCACCAGGAGGCTCCAGATGCTCAGCCGGACGAACAGCAGTCCCAGGGAGGTGGCTACAACCAGGGAGGCGGCTACAACAACCAGGGCAACAACAACTACAGAGGTCGAGGAGGAGGCAGAGGCCGGGGCCGGGGCGGCAATAACAAACAAAACTATTACAACCAAGGTGGCAATAACTACAACAGCCAGAATCAAGGCGGTTACAACCAGCAGACCTACTACACGCAAGGCCAAGGTCAGCCTGGAGGTGGTCAGGGTGATTTTAACTACGGTGGGGAAGAAGGTGTCGATTACGGATATATGTCGAAGAAGAGGAGGATTATTGATGATGTCTACAGATTTCTGGTGCCTACCAGAACTGTTCGTGTGATCATTGGCAAGGGCGGTGAAACAATCAAGAGTATAAAATCTATTGTTCCTGAATCAAAGATATCCATCTATGCTCAGGGAACCAACAATTCTGAGATACCCCACAATGCGTCCGACAGAGTTATGAGCGTGCAGTGTCCGCTGGAATCCCTGGCCAAGATTTTGAATGAACTTGTTCCTAAAATGCAGCTTTTCGAAGGAGGTAATCGGTTGCTAAATGTCTTGAAGATCATAAAATAAAGTTGATATATTCAATGATTTAGTATTGAGAATGACTTGGAACTGTCGGTTCCTTATTTTTCATGACGGTTTGTTTAAGATTTATACTTTTGTCTATCCTATTTCAACAACATTCCATCGCAGGTAAACTCGACATCAGGTTGCTGGTCCCCCAACATTCCTGCAGCGCAGTTATCGGACAAAAAGGAGCCACGATAAAACAAATCAAAGAAGAAACTAACAGCAGTTTTATCGGCGTTCACAACGACCCGCTGCCAAACTCAGAGGAGCATGTAGTGAAAGTAATAAACACAGATCTGCAGGGCTGTGTTGAGGCTGTGGTTAGGGTATGTGCCAGCATTACTGAGACGAAGGGAAAACAGCACGTTACTTTCTACGATCCCCAGGTATGGCAGAAGGGTTCCTATGGAGATACTGGTAGTTGGCTGGAGACAGCGAATGATTACGGCGGTGGACGTGGGAGAGGTCGCGGCGGGCGCGGTGGACGCAGCGGATTCTACAACAACCGTGGGGGCGGTGGTGGCGGTGGATATGGCAGTGGTGACGGTGGTAACAGCGGATATTATAACCAGCAAAACAGCGGAGGATATGATAATCAACAAGCTGAGAACCAATCCTACAACTACGATCCCAACACGGAAACGGCGGCTGATAACAACAAAACGGAAGGCCAAGGACAGGAAAACTATGTTTCGTACCCGAGTTATTAGGCAGCAGTCTGACAGACTTGTTATCACAACCTGCACTCCCGAATTTAACATATTTTATTTTATCATTACAAACTTTGTTAAAACTATATGATGTTTCACATTGACGGTGAATAAGTTATATCGATTGTTTGATAAGAGACGACTATAAAGACTTATTCGAAGATCCTAACGATTATTTGATTCGCCCGGAGGCGCTCTTGAAATTTTATGTCAGCCGAAATACAGACTGTTCTTTTATAGTGCTGACCCTTTCGAAGTTGAATAAACTTAACTTATTAAACATTATTATGTGGAAGTTGAAACATAAAATTCGGTACACACTTTATCTCTGCGATGAATTGAAATGTCCTGGCTTCGTTTTTATAACCCCCTAGCGCGTTCCAATTGACGACTTTTTTGTGAATATTTGAAACCCTTACGGGGACCTTGATTTAGTAGAATTAGACAATTATCGGCTTACTTAACTTATTTTTTGATGTTATTCAATTTGAAATGCTGAACCAAGGGTCTCTATAGTATAACTATTTGTCGCTTTGTGTCTCTATAATAAGTTTTATGATTGACCAAATATATAAAATATTTTGTTTCACTTTATTCTGCTGGTGGAGCCATTGTCCATTTGTTGAGCCTTCAATTTAGCGGCAAAGGTGGAGCGGACGCAGCCTGGGATCGTGTGATTCGTACGGCGCGGGGTATATGTTTTCATCAAAGCAAATCTGTTTCAGAGTTCAAGCATACACGAACGTACATATTGCAGACCTTGGCGATTCGTTGATAATACTAATTAATTAACTTATGATAAAGCTGACTGCTAGTCATTCACAAATTAAACCATTTCATGATAAATTTAAGATTTGTTCTTCGTATAATCTAGTATTTACATTTTCTGACCCAACCACTCAAACTGTCAGGAGACTTATAATTTAAAGTGGACAACTCATTTGAACGATAGCAAACACTCTGTTCTCAAAGTTTCTTAAGCGAGATGAACTCTTGCTGTACTAATTAGCTTCGTCAGGTAATATGAGTGTACCGTCCATTCTCTCATCTAAATTCTCAAATCATACTCGTCTTAACATTTTAGTTTGCAGTCCAACGAGTTGGATCATAATGTCCTCAAGTCTTAGCATACTCCGATATGTGCATATTGCTGTTCAAGATATGCATATTCCCTGGAGTTGTTCCGTTCAACTGTTTGGGGGACGATTTGAAGTTGTACACGACATCTGTTGTGTTATCATCCGACGAATCATCGTCTTCTTCAAATGGTCTCGTTGATTTATGTAGTTTAGCAATCGATAAGGGAGTAGTCGACAGGGACTGCCTGTTATTGGTAGGTTTTATTCCGTGAATGTCTGATGGTATCTCGAATCTGTGTTGCTCTGCTGCTCTAATAGGATCGCGCTCGATGTTATTGTAGATGGGTTCTCCGACTGTTTCCTCTCTCGCTGTCTCCGTTTTAGGTGGCTGAGGTGCCTTGATGCTCTTCAGTGTCCCTGACTTGCTCCTCATTGTACCTGTTCCATTGCTCATCATAGTTCCGCCATGGGTTATCACTGGTGACTGGTAAAGCGCCATGGATTGAGCACGCTGGACAGTGACAATGGGTCTAAACCCAGCACTGTTAACAGATTGGGCCCTGCTTGGTGGTCTTGATGATCTGTTGTTCATGGTGTTGGCTAGGACTAGAGGACTCTGACTAATCGTGCCTCGTTGTGCGTGTAGTAGTGATCCAGATCTCGTCATAGTGCCACTGAACATCATACTGGCCCGTTTCTCTGCATAAGTAGGCCGGGTGACCGTGCAGTATACCCACATAATGTAGGGGAACAGCAGCAGAATCAGCAACCCACAGACACAAGCCACCGCCAGCATTATCTCGAATATAAAATCTATTTCATCCTCACAGAACGCACTGGTTGCAGAACTCGACACCTCTCCTTTCACTGTGATATTGAAGGAGATATCCTCGTCACATTTGCAGTATAGAGTGGTGGTATCTATCAGTTTGCTGGAACAGAAGAACTTGTCCGCATCTGGGTACAGAGCGTCTGCCATCAGTCCGGATAGGATTAACTGGAGAATGGTGGCTGCTAACGCGGGGAGGCACACTGTTGTCACCACAACCGCAACCGCAGGTGTCCTTAGACAGCCAAACATAGATACAAATATTCCAGCCACGACGACCAGTCCTCCTGCCCACCAAGGCTTGTAAAACACCTCCATTTCATATTTCCAATGAAACTCAATAAGTAGTCCGACCGTGACCAGTGCTAAACCTAGCAGGAGGAGAAACACGGAGGTCAGGAGAAACGGAATAGTCTTGGAACGGGAAACTTTGTAAGGTCCCCTTAACTTCATGTTTAGTGTCTGTGTGGTGGCGTCTGCCGAGCAATATGTGGTTTCTGTTCCAGTGGGACTATTCTCTGCTACTTTAGGAGATTCTTGGATAGAATCAGGAGGTGGCTCACCAGGACTTACAGACTGTGTTGGCGCACCAGTGCTGTCTGAAGATAGATTATTAGGGCTTTCTGGTGGTGCTGAAGGTGGTGCACTTGGCCTCTCTGGCGGTGATACTTCTACTGTAGGAGATAAGTCCGGTTTAGCAGAAGCCAAGTAGTTGTAATGCCGAGGCCTTGAGAATTGTAGCGGTCTAGGTCTAGCTGGAGTAGAGTAGGATCTAGTAACGGGGCTCCTCTGTTGAGTAAAAGCCTCCTCGTAATCACTGTTTACATTTAGGTCATTTTGAGAAACCGAATCCTGCATTGTGAAACGAGTCGTTAAGATAAAACGAAGCAAGTAAAGTAATGTAATGATACAACGAGCATTGCTATTGAATGTGGAGCCGCAATTTAGCTAACTTGAGGAAATTTTCAATTTAAAGTTCACAGTCAAAGCAGAACTTGTACACTTACAGAATGGCATTATACGTGTAAGAGAAGTGTTAACATTAGCAAGAAAAACAACAAACAATAGCAATTTTAATCTACTGTGATAAATGTCAGCTTCTTTGGAATGCCATTATCAGATGTGATGTTAAAACGAGAAGAAAGAAACAATACGTCATGGGGATGATCAATGGTCATGAAGCAGCGAAACTAGAAACGGAAATTTCGCCGTGGTAGATAAGTAAAATGTCAAATGATCCCTGTAATAAAATTATCACAGTGAGGCTTCTCCCGGGGTGATGTTACTTATGAATACTTTTATAAAATCAAAGCCTTACCCGCAACTGCCAAATCCACCCTGTCTTTAATGCTAAAACTATTGATGACATGATCGAAATGCCACAATATAAACCACCCCGCCTCCTAAATGTACAATATAGTAATGACAGGGATCGTGACACTACCAAATGTTTATATGCTATGACTTGACAGAAAAGCCGAGACGTGATCATGGTTTTGAAGCCTCTCTCGTTTTAGTCGAACAACCTGTCGAAATGTGTCACGTAATATTAAACTTGGCAATTATTAGTCGGCCACACCGTATAAAGACATAAGTCACCCATAGGCTGCCACTCTGTGGTTATGTTCCCATATGTTTCATCCCTCATCCCTTAATAATGGAGGAGGCGTTTAGCCTTATATGGTGTGGAAGATCGAATTATTTGATTCAAACCAGATAATTAAGCAAATTAGATCTCGAGAAAAAATCAAATTACAGCTGCATGTAGTTATAAATCTCTGCTCTTCAAATTCTGACAATTTAATTTCGCGATTTCTTGTCATATCTTATCTTATATCTGACAGTTGTAGTCAGTATTATCTATTCAGCACTAAGACAGATACTGGTAACTACAGGTGTACACTGTAGTACATGTGTATAAAGAGAAGACATCAAAGAAATTGACGTCAAGAACGATATCAAAGGTCGAGCCGTCTTGGAGATAATAAGTATTCCGTACTTAGTAGCAACAAGTAATTATTCGAATTAGCCGCATGAACTAAACTACACAATTAGGACTAAAACTTTGATAAAACGTCGCTGAACGTCCACTGTAAGGTGGGAATTAGTGAACAAAACGTAACAGCAACAAGAGCCTAGGACGCTGGCTATCGAGAAAACAACTGCCTGGAAGTCTATGTGAACTTGCTGTTCCATCGGAAATTACCCAATATTATCAGCCCCGCCTGACATGAACAACTGAGTGCACAATCGAATATAACTTTAAGTTGACAGGACGTGGCGAGTTAAACTTGTGTTTAAATAAAAAACAGTGCAAATTACGTGTCGAACTTGATTACGGAGAACATAGTCAGTGTATACTAGCACAGGCTAGAATATCGTACAACTAGACTAGTATTACTATGTTATACTTATATGGGTAATCGACTACATATAAATCTATAATTGGGGCCTCTAAAGTCTAAATGCTTTCAAGTCTGTGTATGTTAATTGTTGTTATAAGGTCATATCCTTAACTTGGTGATTGGCTTGCAGATCTCTTCAATCCTTGTTATGAAACGCTCACGTATAATAAAGACCAGAGGTAGAAAGAATTGAGAAATCAACAAACTGTGAAACTGCTGTTGACAGAGTAAAGCACATGTGATAGAAAAGTTCACGGCAGCATCAGATGTGACTAAACGACAAAGATATGACATGCTATTAAATGTATGTCATGCTAAATGGTAATGGCAAGAAGTGATGATAAACTGCAGCAAACAAATCTATATCTAACAGTTTTATAAGATTACTAAGTTGCACTTGCGATACATGATGCGTAGCAAATAATTTTGTTTAAAGTTTATAATTGCGTATAATCGTTCGTTTTGTAAGTAGACTTTGCACTGTACACAAAAGAAAACAATTTTGTTTGAAATTACTATTTTATCGCATAACTACTGGAAAACAAGTGTATATTATCATAAACTGATGCATATAGTATGCATAATATGCATAATGTATGCGTATATCATTAACTCATTCAGATCATGTCAAATCAAACTGTGAGCGTAGTGGTCAATTACTTTTCTGTATTCAATAAGCTACTCCTCAAAGAACATGGCCTGCTGCTATCAAGGGTCAGGGGTCTGAAAATGTTTTACTCTTAAGAAACGCAATATCATAATTACTTTCTTTATATATGGAATTGAACAGCAATATTATTACATTGATTCACTAGCTACAAGTCAAATATCAACTCAGCGTCTTTCAGTTTTAACTAATCTTAAGATTGGTTTGTCGTGAACAGAAATGAATACTCCAATCCAAATAATTATGCATGATAAATTCACCCTCGATATACATAAAATAAATAGTATGTTTCAGAAAAAATTGTATACACCATGATAATTTAGACATGCTTCTTAGAATTCTGACAAACATCTATTCATGTGATGGCCGAAAAATTCTGATCTACTTTTACCTGACGAATATAACAGTTTTCCAACCTTTTGCGAATACTTGAACTTGTTTAATTGCTTGCTTTGCAGGCCCTGCTATAAAGAGATGGTACTCCGGTAAAATCTTGAATAAATTAATTCTTATAATCTGCTTTTAGCTATTTTTCTGCCCTTTTGAAGTCCTTGACCGAATTTTCCGGCCTGAAGTTATCACCCTACATCGATAATTTTTTGTTAAGTGCCCAAAACAGTCTCAATCCCATTGATCATCCCACTAATCACGCGGTGAGTGAGTAAGGATCACGTGGAGGACGTTAAACGGGTAGGACTTTAACCCAGCCGCCCCGCTTGCCAGCGTGTTTCTTAGGTTTGATCTCTCGGAATGACTTCTCCAGCTCCGACCGGTCTGGTGGGTATATCAGCTCGTACAGAACTCCCTCCGTCATGTCGTGTAGATCTGAGAACTCCAGCTGAAAGGTGTACATGTTAAATCCTGTAGTAGTTAGGTTAGTTCCAGGTCAGAGCCTGTAGCGATGGTTACTGCAATTTTGTGAATTATATTAGCCGGCTTCTTGCGAACCCAATCTTATTCTTAAGAAAGTCCAATCTTATTCTTAAGAAAGTCCAGGAGGTTCAATCTTATTCTTAAGAAAGTCCAGGAGGTTGGTTGTGGAGACTACAGTATATAAAACACTAGCTGAACCGTGGGAGTTACGTACAGGCCTCTGTGTCATCCAACCAGAAACCAGCTACTTATAACATGACCACTGACCAGCCATCACATTAGGCAACCTTCAAAGTATTAATATAAGGTGCGGGTCAACCTTTCTGCACTCTGCCGTGCATTTTACTTACCCGAAGCTTTATGTCTGCTCCATAACTTTGCAGCTTCTTCAAGAATCCGTCGATTGCACAGGGGTACAGACTCTTAGATTTGGCTGTTCCCTCCTCCGGAACGTAGTAGATAAACACTGAAGTGTAAATGGAGGGTAAAAGTTAAATATAGTCGGTTCGAGAACCTTCTGTTGTTTGGATCTTACTTTTGGTGCAGACTGTTGTTCTATTTTTCTTAGAAAGCCTGTTTCTAAGAGAGTCTCTTTCGGAATTAAGGATTGAAAAACTAAACCGTTTCAAGTTGACGGCGTGGAAACTATTGCGTAGAAATATTGGGGATTTAGTTTACCTGGCACAAATTCGGTAAATTTGCCGTCTTTAACGTGACTGTATCTGTAGAGGTTAAATCGTGGAACTGCTTCTGGCATCTTGTCGGGTAATTCATCGACATTCACGTTTCTGCTGTCAGAGCAGCGGATCACCTCTTTTTTGTTGTCAATACCCTGATTGGGTTGGCAGTTAAGATATGTACCTTATTGGTTATAAAATCAATTTTTTGTTCGGTTAAAAATTGTTTACCACCAAATTTGTTGTTGACACATTTTAGTAAAACGTCAAATTTATATTGAGAAAATACTAATAAATAGTGTCAAAAAACTAAAAAACCAGGTTTTAAAACTTGTGACTTAAAATGTCAATATGATGCCATCACATAAATACTGCATACATTAAAAACGAAATATTAAAAATTGTATTAATATAAAAAAACGAAAATTGAAAATCAGAATTTAGATTGGTAGCCTCATGGCACAAAAGGGATATGCAACGTGTAGCATAAGCAAGTCGCCTGATGATCGTCCCAAAATGTAAAAGCATTTGTTATTTATTTGAACGTTGAAACTTTCGCACGTGGTCAAATGTTTGCATTTGTCAACGGCTAAATTTATAAATGGTTAACGTTTCACAACTAAAAGTATTGCAGATCGTGTACGGGGAAATTATTTCCGGCAGTGGCCGTGTGATTAACAACTAATATAATAAGGTATTTCTTATTTATTGAATATCATGTATTTTAGTCTTTTACGCACTTAACAAATTCCAGTATGTGACTTAAATGATGTTGATATTATCAGTCAAATATTATTGATATTATTTGCTAACATAACAGCCAATATACTCAGCCAATAAAAAAGGCATTATCACATTTACCTATTCCAAGCGACTGAGAAGCCACCTTTCAACGAATAGACGACATTCAGCACAGCTTGACCAAGTAAGCCTGTTTACACTACAAAGGTCAAAGGGTGAGTAAGTATAATCACATTCGGTACCTGATTCTGTCATTCTGAAGGTAGCCTAGAAAGTACTGAGTTCTAATCACGTGATACACTCTACCACAATTGGTTTTGAAAACTTTGTGTTTAGTAGAAATGGGACTGCTGGTTCGTTTCTACACATTCCAATATGCAGGGTAATTCTACGAATTAACAATACGCCCAGTATAGATATTATATCTAGGTTCAACATTTAAACCATGAAAGGAATCTTGGCTATTTTTGTGGAAACCTTATACTTTAAAGAACCAAGAATACAAATTTAAATTGCTGCTTTTAATAGCTTTGTTTCTCGGAACTGTCTAAAACAATGCAGAACAGCCGTGAATCAAATATATGGTACAACTCTGTGAAATATGGATAGTGCCACTTTCACAAATCTCGGTACACCGAATCTGGATTCTGAAAGCAAGTCATTAAACGTATCGTAACAGTCCAAAAATGAACTCGAACTGAATAACTAAGATTTTAATTGTTTTATGTTAATCTTATTAAGTACACATTTTAAAGACAAATATTTTACTCACGAATTGTACGAAGTTGATGAAACCTTTCACAAATTTATTGATCTCTTTTATAGCATCATCATCAACTTGCATATCTATATCTGGAATCTTCTTCATCTGTCTGCTTCGGGCGACCTCCTGAAATAATTAACGCTCATCATGTTCATGTTTATTTGTAAATCAAAGTAAAACCTGATGAAGATAAAAACAGGGAATTATACCTATTATAATTACTAGCAGTTGTGAGTTCTGAAATATAATAAGCTGTGAGATGGATGTTTGCAGAAAGAATCCATTAAAAATGAGTGATATGAAGTGGCGGCATGTTAAAAATTATGCGATGAAATGCCGGCTGAATATAAAAACCCTTAAAAAGTTCTTTAAGAAAGTCGGCAGTTAGAAAGTCGTGAGAAAGTCGGCATGTGAACAGTCGTGCGCCTGTACCATTGTGACCCGTCGCCATGTCAAAACGTGAGGAGGCATGTGCAAATTGGCCTTCGTAATTACCTTTGTCTCTGTGACTGTCGGTGCCGGCAAGTTTCTCATCTGTTTGGAAATACAGATCTGTGGGAGTGGGCCACTGAACAGTGAACAAGCACGACTCTGCTGTGATCACGGAGAATCTCATGATACAGCCTGACCCAATGATCCAGATAGTGGGGGAACTCTGTCACCAATATTCAATAAGTATTCAATAGGCACTAGGCAGCTTATGTAGACTTCCAACATGAACTTAGAGGAACTCAGAAATATACAAGGCTTGCTCTGGAATGTTCTTTGTTGCTCCACCAAGGAGAGTGTTTGCAAAATTGTATTTGAACTGCTAACATAAGATATTAAGTGTTGCAAAATGTATTTTCACTATTTTACTTCGCCCAGGGCTATTTTCTTCACAAAAAGACAGATAATAAATTTACAAGTCGTGCTAGGTCAATGGTTTCAGTAACTTTTACATGTGTACTAATATGCTCATGCATGCGGCGTGGCCAATTAGTCATGACATTCAAACTCTGTTGAGAAGAACAAGTGTTGAACGTTGGGTTGAATTAGTCCGGTCGTGGGTCGCAGCTGCTGACAGACCTGCATGAGTGTACAAAGCTGAAGATATTGTCACCAAATTCTTTTAAAAAGTGCCAAACTTTATTTTCTACAATATGCTTGGTTCAGCTTATGGCTTGGTTATATGGTAAAGTTCTCTAAATCTTGTACCTGTCTCTTACAGTGGATTGATCTTAAATTGATGCCAAGGCACAAAGACTTCATATATCTGAAGCTAGGTTCTTTGAACATTCAGCCGCTTATAAAGTCAATAACCAAACGTTCCCGGATATTGATAAAATCTAAAACCAGCATTCTCACCTACCCACTATAACTCAGCTGCCATTATTTGATGGTTGTATCACACGATTAATCACGTGATAACAGCAGTGAAGGAAGGTAGTTGCCTGGTTGCAGCAGTGAAGCACCTGTTCTCTGAAGCTGCCAATCGCGTGACAGTGAGATACCTATTATCACTTTAAGTTTAATATTAAAAATAAAAATCGTATATAAAAAACCGCGTACCTCTTCTGAAACGGCCTCTCGTTTGAGTTCTTCATACTTGCTAAGTGGTTCGATCTCTCCCTCAGACATCATCACGTATTTCAAAGCGTTGAAATCTACGTCACACTATAAAACATTCACGGCTTAAACTAAGAGTTTAAAAATTGCGTGTATTGACAGTATACGAACATTGGGAACCGTAAAAAGCATGATATTGCTGCGCGAGTTATTAACATCTGATTCACCAAGAAACCACTTACTCACGTCATTTGCTCCGGTTAGGCGGTAAGTGAATGTCCCTTCTTCGTAGAGCTCGATTAGGTTTGATTTAGATGTGGTGTATGCAGCCCTGTCAGACACCTAGGAGAGGAATTATAAGGTCACTAAGTTTACAAATCGGCTCAAAAGTCTTGTTTAAAATTGTGATAAATAGTCTGAATTCCAGAAGTAAGTGAAGCTAGTTGGTTTAGAAAGTAACTGAATATCTGGATGTAAATAACTTACGGGAGCATCTTCCGGTTGCCATGTGATCAGCACGTGTTCAAAATGTCTTCCACGTGCCTCGTCTAGTCTGTAGATTATAAAACAACTTTCGTCATCATCTAGCAGTTCCAATACCATATCATCGTAGTCATCCTCCCAACTCTGGTCAGGCCCCAGGCAAAATGCTAAACAGAAATATCCTAGAGAGAAAGGAGATAGTGTGTTAGGGATTTTAACAGGAATGATCAGGGATTATACCAAAAACATTGAGAAGCTTCAAAAACTCATCTTATTAGCAAAACCCACAAGGCAAATAGTTTTAATAAATATTGCAATAACGCTGTAAGGAACATATTTAATGTTTTCATTAATAAAGTCAGTTCTAAAAATATAATGTGTACTAAAGGAAACTTACCGTCTTTGATGACGACCTTCATAACCCGATCATAGTAGTTGCTGGTGATGTACTCTATCAAGGAGGGATGGGCTGAAAAACATAAAATTTTAAGGACGGTCTTTCCGAGGTCTCATAACTTTGGCAATCAAATTAAAAGCGGTGCGCTTACACTTACAGTCTATGGTAAAAACCTAAAGTTTACAAAGTGAATGATGAATATATGATATATCCGAAAGTTTTTCTGGCGGTTTAAAGATTCCTTTGTAGATTTATTACCTTTGACAGCCTGGGATCCGAGTTTATTTGGATTATCATTTCCCAGATTTTCTGTAGCATCTGAAACGAATCTGTTTCAACACAATTTACAGCGGTTACTTTAAAAAGGAAAGCCTAGTCGTATAGAGTTTGATAAGCTTTTTACATTAAATCACTTGACAGCTTCACTAGAATTAAACATTAAACAATAGGATTACATAAAGGTCGTAGAGGACAGCTCACTCCGACAACCATGTAGATTTGATTATACGGCCTCAGCTGGTGACGGAAAGAAAGGTCAAACTTAAGCTAAACGGACACTCTGTGAAAACGAATAGCGATGTCAGTAGTAATTTCTACTTGCTCTACAACAATTACACGAAGTGCATATAACATTAGACTTATGCTGTCACAAATGAAAGGGAAATATACGCACAGGTATCTGTTGAAGCCGTACGTTAATACTCCGTGAACAACTCAGGGATCTTGAATAAATGTAAGTCTGAACAGTATCATTCATATTTATCGCACATAGTTACCTGCAGTCGACGAGTCGACTGTTCGTAATTCCGGGACTTCGCCCCCTAGTTGGTATGCCTCAAAGAGCCCAGCCTTTTGCTGGACCTGAGGCCGTCTCGCAACCGACGCCATGGTCATAAGAGAAGAGCGACAAATTTAGAGAGTCTGACACGGAAAAAAGAAGAATCGACAGAGACTGTGTTTGCGCGGAGTGGATCCCAACGTTAGCTCGGATGATACAGTATATTACTCTACTGACATTCCATCGGTAGCTCCAGCTCTCAACTCCCTCAACAACGCAACAACAACGACACACAATGTACACGCCTATATACTTATATAGAGCTGAAGCAAGAGTTGTACTATAATAAGTGCGTGTGTCTCAACACGTATTTAATGCAATTTATATTGCAGTAGTACGGCAGTTATGTACACTTCCCCGGCCCTCATTCTCTCTCTATCTTTCTCTCCACACATATGTTTAACAGTTAATAATGTGGCCTTTCTTCTCTTCTCAGTCATATGTCAGAAATTACGTTCATCACATGTTTGAGGAACATTAAATTGCCAGCTTGCCAATCTTTAACAGCGTCACTACCAAACACTTACCGCAAATTTTTATTTAAGTAGTTCTTTTTGTCGGGTAAATTGTCGAATTGTCATCACCTGGTTGGTGGCTTGATATTATTCGGTGGTGAGTGTTCACCTTTTGTCGAATGGCTCCCTTTCATAGACGAATGTACCAGGAACTGTTTTAAAAGCAATGCCATCGTCCTGCCACTAAATTTCACTTTTAAACTTTAATTGGACTCAATTGTCGCCTCCTGCATTATTCTTACGCGTGGATAAATTGGGAGAGCTAACCAACTTCCCGGTGAAATGGCCGGGCCGTGTTTTTTGTAGACCGTATGAAATATGGCCTCATTGTCCTAGTAGTCAGTAGTACGTTTCTAGAGAAACGAAAATTTCACACCTTATAGTACAGCTTCTGTAGACTGTAGGCAACTGTTGAAATTAAGTGACACGTTAATCGCAGCGGTGTTGAAGCGGATTTAGGGGGAAATAAAGCTTGAAATAAAAGCTTGACCTGCTTGGTTGATGGCATATTCGGTGTTGTGGTAGCGTTCATTGCGAATACTACCAATAGTCACATACTGCGGGTGGAATATGAAATTTGGTTCGAGGAAAGTTACAGAATTGGTAATTAAATAGTGCCCTAATAGCAATGAAATATATAAATGATGACAGAAAAATTAACTGTTCATACAAAGATTATAAGTTACCGATCTTAATATAAGAGTGAATCAATCCATGAAATTGAGAGATCGAAAAATCAAAATCAAAATTGATAGAATATCGGACGATGGAAATAAATCAATGATCTGAGAATGCTTTTACGTGCGGTTAAAATGAAAGTGCAGTTTGAAGTCATCTAACAAATTACTTTGACTTTGACGCTGTTAGAATTGCATCCCTTCCACCATCACAAACACTGGATTACTCACATAATGGCTCATCTAAAACTTACTATGATTTATGAAATCGCTACCAAACCCAAAGTCAGTCAATGACAGCAATTCTGAGAGGCCATTAAATGCTTGTACCTTTTCCTGAACCTGTGGTCTTTTGAGCATCTTTTTACTTTTCTAGGTGGTTTAAGTTTTTTCAAATTTAAACTGCATTATCTGATATCTTAGCAAAATGTCCCCATTATATATCAAATATTATGCATCAACATTGATTCACGACAAGTTCATTTACAGTGAAGCAAAACAAGTAGGCAAAACTCTATCGGTAATCAAAAGTTGGTGTTCACCAATAGCTAATCCTGAGGACTGACTGTCAACAAGAGCAATTTTTCGCTATAAGATTCGTTTGTAATTATCGATCAGTGATTATATTATAGTGGTCCTGATCGAATATTTTGACTTTGAGTTTTCTTTAAAACTGGGGTTACTGAGAAATTTATCTCAAGTTTGATAATTAATCTTGAAGTTGAGTTTTGCCATTCACTGGATGCAATACATACTTTAAGGTTTTCGGGGATGCACCTAAGTGGGCCCATCTCCCACAACAACATGGGTTTGATAAATATTAACGTTTACTGTAGAAGTCTTTCAAACTTTAAGGTTTCCTTTTGGTTACAAATTAGTTAAAATTCAGTGGCTTTAACAAATTTGAGTGTTGTAAACTGTTTTAAAAGCTTTGTAGATATTGTGTTAGTTCCTGAGTAGTGGAAAAATCGAAAGTGAAAGTGTCGAATTTTTAAAAATGAAAAAATATCGTTGGTTCATCATGGTTGGTACCGAACACAATAATATACTGGACTAAATGCAAACTGTTAAATGTTTTTCCTCTGCTATGGCCATTTTTTCCGACCATAATCCGTACGTGTGATATGATTATGGTCTCATTGGCTTTGGCTTTCCCAGATTACATTAGATAAACGAACGTTTTATGCCTTAAGCACTATGAAGACTGTTGGTAACAGTTGAAATTGTGTGACATGTAAAAAGCTGTGATGTTGAATGTTGATGCGGATGTTGTAGAAAACCTGGCTTTTTTATTGTCTACATATTGATATTCGGCATACTCGCTATGGTCAGCGATTAATATTATTACGAAAATGTTGCAAAGGAAACAGACAAGTTCGAAGAAAATAATATGTTATGCAGACTTGGTTAGAATTAAATAGCGCCTATATGCAATTGAAACATCTAAGGTTGCAAAAGTAACTGAAATAATTAAAATGATTTTAATGACGAATAGCGTTTAACTTTAAGACATGAAGAGCACTTATGCATGATCAAAGACTGAAAGAGTTGTCAAAGACGTACAGAAACTTCTAGCACCTCTGATAGCACCTTCTTGTAGAACTCGAAGAAGTGATTGAAAAGAGATCGCGTCCTTTCTGACGCGTGACAGCTCGACTAGCCCATCAGCTTCCAGCAGCGATCACCAATAATATCCTATAATCGTTGTCACGTGTCAAACAAATCTTACTTTTAGTTGGATACTGGAGGATGCGACGCCTCGCAGAGGATAAACAATTTTATCAACTTCATTAGCAGAAATGCTAACAAAATATAGCAGAGCTTATCGAAAACTTACGATGGTTAATGATTTCGCCACCAAACCCAAAGTCAGTTAGATGCAGCGATTCTGTTAGGCCATTAAACGCTTTTACCTTTTCTTGAACCTGTGGTCTTCTGAGCATGATCTTTCTAGGCCTAGGTGGTTTTAGTTTACTGATTTAAACCTCACATTTTATATCTGATGTCAAGGCAAAGGGTCTTCACCGATTTCAAGCATTAAGTACTTCGTATTATTTATGAAAATCAAAACATATCAAACAAATTAACAATGGAGCAAAACAACAAGATGAAAATGCACTGGTGGTAAACAAACGTTGATATTTGTGTATTTGTGTGTGGTGTGGCAAGGTATTCAGTGTTCATACTGAAAATGGGATCCTAAATAGCTTCTGACTGTCAACAAGGCAGCGCGACGGTTCATTAGAAGAATTATGATTCGTTTGTAAATTTCGACCAGTTGGAGCGATCATTGTGTGGTACTGGTCCTGGAATTTGAGCACTTATGTTCGATTCTGAGGTTTCCGGAGCTATAAATGTTAGGGATGATAATTAACGTGAAGGTGATGACAATTATTCTTCGGGTTTTAAATTTTCAACACTTTTGTATATAACAAATGATTTGAGATTATGTTCGTTTGATAAAAATGCTGATGATAAAGTAAATCGGTCGATTGCTACAAAAAATCGATTCATCGTTTTTCGGTTCTGGTGCTTGGTCATTAAAATTACGCTGCTTTGAAAATTTTGAGGGTTGTAAACTGGTCTTAAAGCGTCTATAAATTTCGTGCTAGTTTCGGAGCAGAAGAAAAACCAAGTGTCGAAGTTAAAGAATGACAAAAATATCAAAAGCTGGTACCGTTTACGAATTTCAAAAATTTACTGCATTTATTACAATCACTCCATTTTAATATTCAACCTTTAAATCGAAAAATTCAAAACAAGCCTTTTTGAAGAAGCCGTAATAACGAACAAAAACTCATCTGCCTTGATCGGATTAAAAAGTTAAAATCAGCAACTGAAATAGCCGGCTGATATAAAATAAATAAATAACAACACTATATTTTTATATAAAATAACAACACTATATTTTCCAACTTCTTTGTATTCCCGCCGCGAAAGCGGCACTGCAGTGTTGCTTGTAACAGCTAGTATAATTCGAACAACTGAAACCTAACTTGTAGTTAAACCAACACAACAACATGCCTAGCTTACGTTACTGTCCAGTTTTGCTGGGTGTTGCCACCGGTGACAAGGTAGGCGCACTGAAACTCTCAGCTGAACATAGCGTTTGTCTTATCAAGGGGGCAAAATGAAGTTAACCTACTGAAAAAGGAGAAATCTGATAAGGTTTAGTTGTGCAAATAGTTAAGTTTATAACAGTGATAAAGCATAGTAAATTGCGATGTTATGACTATACTTGATATTTCGTGAATATTACCACTATAAAGTAATTTCCCCTTGATTCGAATGATTGCCACAAACGATTTTTGATTCTGATCAATTCATAGGTGCATGACACTTGGTGGCAACTTAAATTGGACAAAATTATGAAATTGGGAAACCAATGGCAATATGATCCGCATTCCGCAAGTTCCTTCTTTGAAATACATGGGTCACCATGACTAGAAGTAATCCTTATACTTTTTCTCTCCGCTGGTTGGGATCATCAGAGCATTTGGCATGTGCCATGTCACCGATGTCTTATAAACAGCAAGAATGCTTGACAGATCGGCATTAATCAGTACGACACAAAAATGTGTCAAAAAGACAAAAGAGTGCATTCTTGCAAAAAAATGGGAACTCCTGAAGTTAGGATGTGAATCAAATAAAAAGGATCAGAGTTCTGATAAGTGGAATTTTGATTAGGTATCCATGTACAGCAGAATGAATCATTATTATTCAGGGGCCGTTATTGCCAAGTATTGCTGTTTATTGCATGATGGAGGTCATTTGGCCAGTTGAAAGAAAAGCAGGAACACTATCATATTATGGGCGCCAAAAACACCACAGGACAGCCGGTATAATATTGGCACTGCACACACACCAGATACCTTGAACGTGCGTGTTGGCCGCCTTGATACACCTGGTCCAAACCAGTAAACCTTCTTAAACAGAGCTACTTATATAGAAAGTGTGAGCTACTTTGGTCCAGGCTGTGTTCCCTTTTATGTCACATGGTGTTAAAACTGGAACTATCAGTTTGTTTTCAACAACTATTCTAACAGTGTTCCTAACTATGAACTGACGTTCGATTAATTGGACCGAGAGTTAAAATTGTTTTAACGTGGTACAAGGGTATGATGTCTTGGTGAAGTCCAAGTTGGTCATCTGAACAAGTTACAACATGACATCTCACAATTAAGGGGTTTCAATAATATAACTTTTAGAACTTTTATGTTAAGTAATATAAGTAGCTGAAAGTGATATGAAAGTTGTGAAGCTGGAGGAAACTCTGGATTTTATGTCAAATTATGTAAGCAAAAAAGATCTAAATGGCCGGCGTTTTGAAATGGCATTATACGTTCAAATATAACAGCCGATAGTGACATGAATGGTGGCTGTGAAAGAAACCGGTGGTTTTTAAGTGACAAAACTGGTACGTGTCTTGGAAACGTCAAACAACCACGCGTCCAGTCAACAGTCAACACGGCACTCTCAACTACCTACAAACATTGGGTTTTAGAAAATGCGTAAGAAATAATTCCTACCTAGTCTGCATTTTACAAACCTGAAGTTGACTGGTCGCGAGAGCTCAAGCTGTTGTTTTGACTGCTAAATACGAGTATGAAGTTGGAAGCCTTTCAAATGGTCCGCTAGACGTATAAACCAGACTGCAAATTGTGCTGAAACGTAGGTTGCACCGATACATTTAACTATTTCAGACCTGCTTCGGATCCCAGCCAGGGCAATATCAAGCTGACTGAGCTGATCGATATCCACGAAGCGCCAATCTTTTTAGCATACTACCATCTTGTCAGTGAGTCTTATCCTCGACACGTACGCTACCTTATATTGAGCTATTTGTGACATTGCGATGACAACCGACGTACGCTCGACTTTTGGATACTCACCTCTAATATCAAATAGCTGTTGCAATAGCTTTAATTCAAAATGAGCATTAGCAAAGAGTTGACAGGTGTTGAATTTTGGAATCGGGAGAAAAGTGTTAGAATTTATATCTCTTTATGTCCATGATAACGTTACTATGTGGAAGTGGAAATTCAAATCAAAGCCTTATTAGATAAAATTTATCCGTGAATCGTATTTATACGAAAAAAGAAATGACCTAAATTACCTTTCGAGAAACTGCGTAAACGGTAAAACGTGCTTCAAATACACATAATCATATGACTGATGAGATAAGCTAACAAATAATATGGGATGGTCTTTTAGAAATGATCTTTGAAGACACGCACATTGTTTTCAATAATCATGTTTTCTTATAATATGACAGACAAGTGATTGATGGTAGCAGTTAGAAAATACTTAAACAACATTATTACAACAACTTGGCAAGAGGTGGAAAACATTCGAACAAGAAATATTGAAACCATAGTTTACGTGTGATTCAATTTTAAGCTCAGGCCTGGCCTCGGGAAAATTAATCGGATCATGTTATTCATCAGATGCAATTTATACCACGCTCATAACTCCTCCCATTAATAATTTATAAATATCGTCATATTATTATTATCAGCGGTAAACATCATCTAAATTGGTTATTATTAGTTAAAAATGCCCGATGGAGTGAAAATTAGAAAAAATTCAACGTATGGTTGTATCAAGTTATGTTTGGTGAAATGAAATAACGATTAAAGTATGAACAATAAGCATAAATTTCAGGATGTCGTCACACTCACTGTGAAACAAACGGCCAGACAACAAACGTGGTAGCTTTATAAAAACCTGCCATGCAATAGATCCGCCATGCAATAAACATAAATCAGATTAACAGCTTAAAGCTGTTATAAGTTGAGAGG